CACCATGTCTCATTAGATAATTCCCGACTTATATTTGTATATCGTTCTGCCAAATTTAGAAAAGTTGACTGCATTCATGAATGAAAGAAGCCCAAATTGAGTATTCTGAAATTCCTGATTCTCTTTCACTGAAAATATTGGCTCAACATGTCCATTTCCGCTTGGAATCAGAGCACAATCCCTTAGGTGGGTGGCGAGAGAGAGAGAGAGAGAGAGAGAGAGAGGGGGGGGGGGGGTGCGGTTAGAGAGAGAACCTTTGGATCTCGAAGATAGTGAACAATTTCTTCTAACTCAGCCTTTGCCTCATCAACACCCTTTACATCACTAAACTTTGTGCTGGATTCCATGCTTGGTTGCACCTCTTCATGAAGACCGAGTCCTGCTAAGGAAAAAATTAAACCTTTCAATTTACCTTGATAACTCTAGAAGTGATACAATGTCTTCTCCCCCTTCATGAGTAGATAATGCAGATCATATCAGGACCTTCACATACCTTTACTTATACCCCTATCCTCAATAAGAGCTCCAACACCAGAAATCAAGAGAAAGGCCAACGCAATCGTACGTATTGTACGCCACAGCTGCTCTTTAAAATGCCCTCCTTCTGCAGCCACCATGTGTATAGGAGCACTTGCCGTCCCAAGAACACCATCTTTTGCAGATTTCCCGACATTCTTGAAAGCTGAAAATGCACCGATACCTTCTTCGTCCCTAGCAGAAGTACTAATACCTGCCATTGCATCCACAAACATAGCTTGAAAACCTAACTTCGCATAAAGAGATTACAAAAGTGAAAGACCGAGAAAGAAGGTACAGACAACAAAAAGTGAACAGCAGATATTTTACTAGGTTAAACAAATTGCAGAATGAAGAACACTTGAAGACTAATATATCAAAATTGAATAAGAGAGGAATCTACCAAGATAACGATAATCCAACAATTACACGTATAAAGTAACAGAGATCCAACATTTACCTCTCTGCAGAGTCTTCAATAACTCACTCTCGTTAAGCCTGTCAACTTTAACTAATGCTTTAACATATTCAGCTAGTGCTGAGGGGTTGGAGTGCAAAGATGGTTGACTTTCGAAAAGTCTAATAACTGATTCAGGATCGTTCCTGTGGTAAAGTTCTTTAAGATGGGCAACCTCACTTGCTTCATCTACATCACGTACTCTACGCGCTAAATGACCAACATAGCTTGACTGAAACCTCCCTTGTACTCCCACAGGCAAATTTCCTGCACCAACAGGAATATTACATGCCAATCATCACATTTTCAGAAACCTGACAAAATTATTCATGGGTGGGGAGAATGATTGGCCTGTGGGTGCTTTTGAAGTACCTCCTTGATACTATTTGAGAATACCACAGAAATAACCCCCTGTATTTAAACTTTACTAAGATAATCGACTCAACAACTTTAGACTTACATTTACCACCACAGTCAGAGTTGCCATGTCCGCTTTTATTACCAAACAATGCTAACACGGCATCATTAGTGATTAATTTAGGATGTGGTTACCGTGTCAACATTTCACTTAGTAGTTAGTGATGCCACGGAAGCATTCTCCAAACAATGGGCCTGACAAGTCTGACGGATGCTTGGCATTTCTTCAAGCTTGCAGGAGTTGTCTTTATTATAGCTGTAGAACGGTCCTCGTAGCATACCCATACCCTCAATGTTGATTTGCTTTTTTTCTTTTCAAACTCTTATAAGCAATATATGAGAAACTTGTGATTACAAAATCCAAAAATCCACTATATCAGCATTTGCATGTGGTTGATGGATCAAAATACTGCATGTAAATGATAACAACAAAAAGAACTCATAAATATCCGACAGGCATACCTCTAACAACTCTCGATGCTGTGACAGAATAGTTTGGTCTAACGAGTGAATATTTAAGCTTCCCAAACCCTGATTCATGCCTTAAAACCTGTTACAAGACAAAAGATAAAGTAAAGCAATTGACCACGATGGCCATGACCCACATGCTCAGTTAAAGTAAAATGTCACCAGCAGTCATCACATGCAGTAGCAAAGTAACAAATTACCAAAACTAGGCACTCTAAAACCTGCTGGTTTAGTGAAAACAAATCTCATATATAAGTCGATTGGAAGAAGTCCCCCAAGCTTGTATTATTACACAAGTTCACACTGGCTCTTGCTCCTTTGTATCTCTCACAATTAACCAGAGGCAGTCCAGAGCCACTTTCACTAGGGTTAACAGATACATATTTGATTAAAATTAAACTAAAAATGAAAAGAAACGATCAAGATACTTGAACAGAAAATGTAACATAATGAGTTTACACTCTTCTGAGAAAATTAGCCACAGAAAACCAAATAAATGCTGGAATACTCCATATCATTGTCCGATCAGAACAATCCGTTTTTCTAAAGTAACAGTAACAACCCAGAAAAAGCACGTTCCGGTAACGTGGCTTAGGAATGTAGCACTAAAAGGCCAAAATGGCTCAACAAACAGGAAGATGAAATTAAAAAAAAAAAAAACTTCGCAAAAGAGAGCTACTCAAATTTACGTGATTCAGCCACTAGCCAATGACATAGGCAAGGGATATGCATGAAAATGTATGGACAAAAGGAGATAAAAAATGCATTCTCCAAACCCTACGGCGTGCAACACCCACTCGCACCCCCAAACAACAATCCCCTCCCCCAACCCCCACTCGGGTTTAAGCACCAGAGAAAACCTAACCGGACTCACATTTATCATCCTCAAAATTCATGGATCGGGTCACAAATTAGACCATGTTCAGAAATAAGTTCAAGTCACAATCATCGCATGTTATTAAAAGGTTAGAAAGGAATAAACTTGAATGCACCAGCAGTTACCCAACAGGCCTTTTCTCATTCTAGATGAGCTTCCCGTTTGCCAACTCAAGAAACGGGTAAAATTCCAGGAAACAAAGAAGAAGGTCCTGATATAGCTAATATAGAGTGAAAATCATGCGCCGTGTGAGACGCTGCCTATATAACTTCCGATAGTTCGTAATGTGTCCTACTTATCGCCACCCCCCCTACTACACAAAGAAATGGGCACACAATATCGTCATCAGTCTAGCCAAGCACCATCACCTCTCGCTCAATTCATCGCCTTTAGTCAATCCTCAACACTAGCGAGCACAATCTACCAAGCAACGCGCCCTCCACTATCCCGCTAAACCCCACCGGCGAAATATTATATAAAAAAAAAAAATCCAATCTTTCATTCCATCACAAGCCACCGGATATGATCCCACAAATCATCACCCAATCGCGCAGCAAGTTCCCATCAACCCCGACCCAAAGTCAAGGAACCCTAACCCGAACCCCTCACGCGGCACGAAAGACAACCGCGGACACGACGGCGGCGGCGGCGACGAATCGGATGGAAAGAGCAATTCCGACGAAGCGAGAAGAGAGCGAGGCGCGGCTGACCTGGGTGAGCAGGCGCCTCCAAGCCATCGGCCCGAGCGAGAAACGGCGGCAGGTCCCCCGATTCCGATCCCTCTCGCTCCGTCCCCTCCGGGGAGCTGCTGCTCACGAGCTGATCGCCGCGGGCCCGGCTCGGCTCGGCTCGGCTCGGCGACTACGGCGTTCCGGTGAGGATTGCGAGAGAGAGAGGGGAAGGACCTAGAGGAGTTCGGGGAGGAAGTTGGAGGGCGAGGGCGAGCGACTGATGAATGGATGGATTTGGTGGAAGACGAAAATGGTAACGGGAGCTGATTTTTTGTTATTGTTAATTATCCTTCGGTTTCGGCTGCTGCGGAGGAAGGGAAAGGGCGAGAGAGAAGAAGATCGTGCGGCCCGGCGGACCGATCCTATTGTGCGCCGGGTGCGGCGGTGCGCACCTGATGTTTGCCCTCTACCTTTCTAGGCCCTAAGCGCTCTTGCCCCCGACCGGGCTTGCACCGGAGGCGAGAAATCGGGCCGGGCTTTGTCGCGCCCGGCCCGGTTTTTTCGTAGCATCGGGCGGGCCAACGGGCCAGCACAGAACGGGCCGTGGAATGGCCTTTGGGGCCTTAAGTTTAGGCCCGTCATGGGGGACAACGCTCACGGGGAGGGCAAATTGAAGATATTCTTATAGAGAATGGAAAATGATACGAATGGTCCCTGAAACTTTGAAGCGCAATGGTGATCCCTGAACTTTTAACTTGTTCAATGTGGTCCATGAACTATCGATACATGTTCTATCTAGTCCCTAGACTATATAAAAATGTTCAATATTGTCATTCTATTAAATCTTTTCATATTGTCCAGGGACTAACTTGAATATTTACCAAAAGTTTAGGGACTACATTGAACAAATTATAAGTTTAGGGACTAAATTGCACATTTGGCTAAAGTTCACCACATTGAACAAATTAAAAGTTCAGGGATCACGTTGCACGTTGGGTTAAAGTTTAGGAACTATTTGTGTCGTTGTCCCTATAGAGAAAGTATAGAATGGCAACGACAAGAAGTTTTCGAGGCACAATAAGCTGAGGAGATAGCCACAAGGACCAAGCGACTTTTGAAGTTTTTAGAGATTTAGGGTTTCATGGGTACTCTATAAAATATTCCTAAGGGCAATTGTTGGAAGTGTATCGTTGTATTCAAGAGTATTCTTGTATTTTATTGGGGTAGATGACAAATAAGGAAATTGGATCGACACCGTTAGATAATTACAGGAACTCGTGTATAAATGGGGTCCCCTCGCTCGTATTTACATTAATGCCCATGCACAATCCAAATTCACCCAGCCACTATCAGTCCACATAATCAAATTATACATGCACGCGTGGAGGACGAGTTCATAAATTCGTGGGGTTCTCATTTTTTGAGGTAATTGCTTACTCTCTTGTCCTTGTGCAATGTTCTCAACTTCTTGGTCAAAACGTGTTGTGTGTGTATGGACAAGGATGGAGTGTAATTCGATGTTCTCCAAAAAAAAAAAACAGAGAAAGAAAGGGAGAGATCGAACCTATGCACATAATTTACACTTTATATATGCTACTTCCAAAACAATCAGTAAATATTACGAAACAAGGAAACTTAAGTTGAGTCCCACAACAAAAACAAAAACAAAAGTACAAGATCTTACATATTTTCCGTACTTTGATTCTCTCTATCCGTTTATTCAATGAGACGAATGTAATTGAAAAAGCATAGCTCGAAGTTCTTCTTTCTCTGGATTCCCTCTTTTCGAATCATTTAGATGGGCATGGCTTAGGAGACACGTTCATGAGTCAAACTGAAGATCCAAATCATGCCGAAGAACTCCACGAGAGAGCAGTGAAGGGTTTGCTCTCCTTGACATCCTTGTAAAGTTCCCATCAATGCGTCCTCTTCCTCTCTCTCTCTCTCTCTCGCTAAGCAGGCCGAAAGCTGCGCAGGTTGAAGTTGACTGAACATGGAAAGAAAAGCTTTAGCGGTGTCAAAGTGCTCGGTTCTTGCTTTTACTCTGAAGCAGCCCATCATTCTCTGTGCTGCCACGCTAATCCATTGGGTCAAACCCAGCAACTTTGTGCTTGAGGAAATCCTTAGGCGAGAATGCCCTCAGACCCAAGAAGTCTCTGGTCGCCATGTGATCTTTATTGCCCTCGAGACGGAACCTTTTTGCTGATTCCAAGGTCGCCGCTTCCTTGTAAACATCACCCCCGAGATCCGATGAGGGTCTTTCTGAAATATCATTGTTGTAATCGTTATTCAAGATCATCTCACTCAGATCATCATCAGCCCCGTCCAAAGATGACAGCGGATGCATCATCATCATCGCATTCATGTCTTGTTGAAGAAGAGCGAGAGGACCTGGTTCATCAGCTCCTCCTGAAACGCCTGCAGGAGTGACGACAGCTTTATTCCCAAAGGACGACAAGCCCTGATCAACAAACCGACTTGTCCCCATCTGATGATCTTGAGGACGATGACGAAGATGGTCACGTGAACCCAAGTTCACCAGATTATTATCATGCATGCGACTGTGTGTTTGTGGGGTACGACAGTCGATTCCAAGTGATGAGCCGGGCTGGTTGCTCATGGCCACCCCCATTTGTGCCGCTTTTTGCAACAGCGCGGTTGCCGACATGTGAGGTGAGGAAGAAGATGAACAAAAAGTACTCACGGTGTTCTGTGCGTGAGGAAGAGAGATGCGAATGCCGGAGGAAGGATTATCAGAGTTAGGGTTTTCTAGAACCTGCGGTGATGGGTCGAACAAAGAAGATGGGGATGACAAGGTTCCATGTGAGCTATAAGGTGGTGGTGTCCACAAGGGACCAATGATTTCTTGTCTGGGGTTGAAAATGTGAACCTGTTGATGCTGCTGCTGTTCTTGCTCTCTTTTGATGGAGAGAGAGCTGACGTTTTGGAGATTGATGTGGGAAGTAATGAGTGAAGTGGTGGGAGGTTGTGAGGAGGAGATCAAGAAGTTGGGCGGGTTTGAAGGAGTGGCTTTTGCGCCCTCTTCTGCTAAGGCATCACAGAAGGCTCTATGAGTGATGAAGCTGTCCCTCCTGCCAAATTAGAAACATCGAACATTGTTATCGCTATTGTTATCAAGGAAAAATTCTCGAAACTTATCGGCCAGTGAATCTAAGCCGTTGAATCGTGCAAGATCCATGTGATCCAAGGGCTGTTATCCAATTGGGCTCGTGTGTGCCCGATTCACGCTAGTATCGCTCCGAGTAGAGGATGTAAAACTAAGCAAAAGCAAACAAAAAGAGATGAAGCCCACAATTTTGTTGCGAGTATGAATAGCTTTGAAAATATTTTTAGTATAGGTAGTACTCTCTCTCTCTCTCTCTCTTTCTCTCCACTCATACTAGCTTTTTTAATTGTCTTTTTTCATCCCTAGGACAAAAGGCATTATTGTCATAAACATTTGAAGATTCCTAATCTAAATCACTTCCCCCCCGCAGCAACCACTAACATCTCTCTCTCTCTCTCTCTCTCTGGAACATGGGAACTCTTGTAGCCACTACTTGCTGTCTTCTGTACATGAGATCACAACATGAACAATAAGCTCGTCGAGACTAAGAGTTTAGATAGCAAACAAATCTACTGATCATTCACGGCGTGCAGAGCAGAAGCACTAAACAATAGCAATAGGAAGCCGTATTTGGTTGGAAACATAATGCATGGTGGCTAATGATTAACAATTCAGGATTGTTCAAAGTGTGTATGTGCATTTTCTTTACCTAGAGAAGAGGGTTCCACAGTCACATCTGTACTCTTTCGTACCACACACCTTGGAGTGAGCCTTCCAATCTGACCGAACCGCATAGCGCTTCGAACACTTGTCGCACTTCCACTTCTTCTCGCCGTGCTTTCGGAAGAAGTGTTTCTTGATGCCGGTGAGATCACCCAGTGCTCTTGACGGGTCATGGTGCACGCACGTTGGCTCGGGGCAAACGTACACCTTCTTCCTAATCGGTTCTTGCTTTGCTCTTTGCTTCAGCTTCCAAGGCAGGTTGTGCCCTCTCCTGTGGAGCTGGAGGTTCTGGTCCCTCTGAAACCCTTTGTTGCAGATCTCGCATATGAATCGGTTGGTCGCCATGAGCGTTCTCGGCGACAAGGCTATCACTTCCGCATCTGGGTCTGATTGAAACAGCATAATATCAATAAGCCACAACTTTTAGAAAGTCTGATAAAAAGGAAGCAATCCCAAAATATTGTGTTCGAATCACAGCATCTTCTACTCAAAATAATATTAGAGGCAAGTTCACCATTTTACAAATGGAGCTTTCCTCCACACACATGAACTGAGAGATTTACGTGCGACAGTGCGGATTAACCGAGCATCAAAATTCAAAAAGCAATTAGTGAATCAAGAGACCTGGATTGCCTGGGAGGCTTCTCTTCTTCTTTGGAGGAGGAGGTGGTTGATGATTTGTGGAAGCAAAGGAGTGATGAGAATACAAATTGTTGGTATTGCCATAAATTTCACTTCCGGAACCTGAAGAAGCACAGATCTCACCGGATGCAGTGGAGGTCAAATTAGACATACTGTTGTCATTCACCGCCAACAGGCCTTTCATTTCCATTGCTGCTTCTAATTTCCATTACACAACAAAGAACTGCCTCAAAAGATGACTGATGAACAATACACAAGGATTCATGGGTGCGTGTGCAGATATCTGAGCCCCCCCCAACAGAAACCCTAATTTGGAAAGGCCAAAAAAGTTGAAAAGAAAGATAACCCAGAAAGGAAAGGGGATTTTTTTCCCATGAGCTTCTTACAAGCTTCATTAAATGCACACATGGCTCCAATAAGTACTACCAACCCTTTTTCTTCTTCAATTCTCTTTCAGAATTATTCCTTTTGCTCTCTTCACTACACCAAGTTTTTGAAAAAATTTGAAGGGGAGAAGAAGTGAACTTTTATTGTGAGTAGACTTGTGCACCAAACCTCTCAGCCACCAGTCTTCAGTATGTGTTTGAACAACCACCACCTCCCTCATGCACTCGCAGCTTTGCTGCTGATAAAAACACACCCAGAGAAAGCTCAACAGAAAGCCACACAAAGTAGTACTAACGAGAGAGAAAACTGTGGAATCGTTTGCTCAAGTCTCTGGAGAGCTTTGCAAAGAGAGAGAGAGAGAGAGAGAGAGAGAGAGAGAGAGATGGGGATAAGGAAGTGACATTAAGAGGAAAGGCTTTTAGGCTTTTAGTTTTCTCTCCAACACCAAAATTCAATGGACTGTGAGCCCAAGCCGAACAGCTAGGCTTGTGTCGTTTGTTTTCTGAGGCTGCACTTTCTGTCTTTTCCTTTGTTCTCATTCACTCACAGTCTCATCAAGAGAGAGAGGGAGAGCGAGAGAGAGATTTCACTCTTTAATAATTGTCGGTCACTTTACCATATATTTTCTTGCTTTTACAAGCATTGGTTTTTCCACGCCACCTTTTCCCCTCCTGAGGCCATGTAAAGTAGACATAAAGCAAAACCAAGTGGAAAGATGAGGCAAACATTTTACACTCTTGTAGAGAGAGAGCGAGAGAGAGCGAAAGAGAGAGAGAGATGATAAGAAGTTGATTATGAACTTTTAACCTGATGGTGGTGATAAGAGTTTCGAAAAGCATGGTCTCTTTTTACCTATATACATTGCCACTCATAGTAGCATGATTGGTTTAAAGTGATTATAATTCCAGCAAACATGCTACTCCAGGACAGAATACTTAGCACTACTTCACATGTGTTCATTTTGGGGTGCTTGATGAAATATTTGTCTATGTTGATAAACAGATACAAATGTCCTATAATAAAAGCAACAATCAGGCTCACTAAAATAACGAGGAACGCTGAATAATTCAGTTTGTTTATTATGGAATTCTTGAACTGATAGAGATACGAGGGGCCGCTCTGCTGCCTATCATCAACCCTAATTTTCTTATTCTATTTGTGAGAGAGAGACATGCTCATAAATAAATACGAAACATGTAACCAAAAAGTCTTGTGTGGTGAGGATTTACATGGTGTAGATGTGGATGTATTTGAGTTTCAAAAATAAACCAAATGAAGCCTTATTAATTTAATTGTTCGAGATGTAGTTGGGTTCATGCAAATGTTATATACAGTTAAGATGTGTGTGAAGCCCTAGAGAACGATGAGTATTTGGCGAAGTTGTGACACTTCTGGATTAACTCACTCGAAGCGTTGTCTGCATTGGCCCGTCCTGTACCAAGCCTCATAGTTTCGTTTGTTAACATGCAGATAAGCTTTTATACATGATTACCCATCTAGATCTTGAGCACGCTTAGCATTGGAGCTCCAACAATAAACGTTGCAGTTATGTCAAAATGCGTCTTTGGCGAGTTAATTTCAATTTCGTATATACAATCCAAGAACACTCTATCTTTGTTCGGTGTGTAATTCGGTTTATACCTGTCTCCTTCGCCATCTTAAAAGCCTCTCGAGAGTCGGTCCTTATTTGGGCCTTCTCGCCCCGGTGATCACTTTCCATCCTCATCAGATCGGGTGGTTACAAAAGTCTTCCGGCCAAAAAGAGACATTAAATGGCTTCTAGATTATTTTAAGGATGCACGCGTTTTCTTGGCGATGGATACAACAAGAATCCACTCTCAAATTACAGATCCCTATGACAATGAGATTTGATTTTCTAGACTTCAATATTCGCAATCGTCAAGATTCGTTTCTTTCTAAGTTGAAACAAGGATGAGATGAGGGTGGGGATTCGGGCAGACTACTTCGATTTTAATCATTTGCATAAGCTAATCATAATGATGATGAAGTGCAGTATTTCCTCTATTCACATCAATTAACATGATATAAGTCGCATCAAATTCAACACAAGTCAATATTGATACGCGTATTGATTTTTTCATGAGGTTGAGCTGTGTGTGGTGGCCTTGTGTTTGAAAACTGCAGAGGGTCAAGCCGCCCATCATGTGCAAAGACAATGACTGATCAAATTCTTAGAAGAGAAATTTTGCAACGATTGGAATCATTTTGCCAATTCCATTCGTGTTTTATTTCTAGAAACTCTTGTTCCGAGAAAGACCACGGACCATTGAACTCGAAATGATCAGACCCGTCCAATTTTATATTATAAACAGATGCGCACGGATAACTATAATATGGTATTAAAGTCGGAAGTCTCGAATTCATTAATTTCTCACTTTCGCTTTCAAAATATTTATGTAAAGTTTCAAACTTTTCTGGCTTCTGTACGAGACTACAAAACAGTAACATCTTGCATGTACTCCCAATAGTGCCAAGTGACAAAATTTACGGTTTAAGTATAAGTTACATCACGAGTTCTGAAGTCTGAATCTACACTGTCTATGATTTTTGTCTTGAGTGTTCTATCTTATGTTTTTTAGGGTTGTCTCCACAACCTATCATGTATATTATTCTGTGTAAGACAGCAAAAGGGGTGGTTCGATTGGCTTTCATTTGTCATTTTCAGCTTTTTTCAACTTTTTCTATGTTTATTAGGGTGTCTCCCTCATCCATTACGTGGCTCCAGCTCATGTTTTCTTTTATCTGTTCAATCATTTTTATTATTCGGCAACTCACATGATGTGGTCATCCCGATGTGAACCGGAAATGTGTGCATTTCGATTCACTGTAACTATCACATTACATGATTCTCGCATCAGCTCCGTATGATCTAAGGGTTCTAATGCACCTGGAGTATACGCATTGAAATCACTAGAGAAAAATATTAAAGGTAAGCATCGATCTAGGATAGATCTTGAAATTGGATCGAATGACCCTGATTAGCCGATTCTAGTCCGATTCCCTATTCTAAATTTTTTGAACCAACTATTACCAATCCAGTTTCCGAATATGGGTGTGGAATCGAATCGAACCGGAAAACCAAATCAAGAAACCCTAATTCTCTTCTTTCAGTTTTACCTTACATCTTGTAGTCTTTTTATTGCTGCCTCTGCCTTTGATTTCTCTCTCTCTCCTTTGCTTTGCCCACTTCTTTATTTCCTCGACGTGAATCAACCATCCGAGGCTGATGAGCCTCCTATAGATCAGTCGCTTAATTGGCCGTAAAAGAAGAATCGAAGATGCTCGAGCACCATTTCTCCGATTCCAGCAAATACGGTGGTTTTTCGGAGGCATTTGCATTGTACATCTGAAGATGCAACACTCTCGAGGAATAAAAAAAAATGAACAAAAAAAACATAAGAATTGGCCGGTTCGAAAGTAGGCCTTGAAACTTGATTGGACTAGTTTGGTTCCGGAGCCTGCGGGGTATTTTTTCGGTTCTAAAATTTGGAAACCTGTCCCGACATTACGCACTCTAAAACCACTCATCCCTAAAAACGCGTACGTGAATAATATGGGTTTGAGAGTATAATGCCGATTAGCGTGTATATTTTTTCTTGGTTTGCATTTTCACGGTGGGAATGATGAACTAGGGCAAAGATAGTCCACACGGTTTCGTGTCCCTGTCTTTGATTGCTCATTCATTTGATTCGGAAAATATTCTAAAATTAGTCTTCTTCTCTTTTTGGTTTCTTCTGACAGATTGGATTAATTTAGTCGTCGATTTATGCGGGAATGGTGTCTATTCCATACAGCATAGGACCAGCTAAGTAGCTGCAACTGATAGAAATTAACTTGAGGCTTCAAAAATTTCCAGATCGCCTTCTCAAAATCACCAAACAAGCGTCTCCATTTCCTTAATGAACAACAAAAAAGAAAAAAAAGGTTGGGGAGGAGCAACCGATACCGACAATCTCCCTAGGCGGTCTTCACACACGCTACAAAATGTCCGGATTTACAAGCGGGCTTGAGTCCTGATCAAACTTGGCCGACGACCTCGGCGGTCGTGGTGCCGACTAATTTGATTATCGTTATTACATTTTTACCCTTAATGGGCCGGAGCAGACTCGATTAACCGGCAACTTTTAAGCGGGCTTGGAGGATAACCCCGTGAAATCTCTTGGCCCTTACGAAAGGCAGTTTTCACATGCGCTACGAAATGTCTGGTTTTACAAGTGGGTCTAAGTCCTAATCAAACTAGGCCGGCGACCTCAGCGGCCGCGGTGCCGATTAATTTGATTATCATTATTACGTTTTTAACCTTGATGGGCAGGATTAGGCTCGATTAACCGGCAACTTTTAAGCGGGCTTGGAGGATGACCTTGCGAGATTTCTTGGGCCCAAAAGTTTGGGCCGGTGTGGGCCCAAACCCGCTGGGCAGGTGAAAGGTTGCCAAACCATGTTATGAAGTTCGGGCTTTAATTCCGGGTCGGGCCAGGCCCTAAAGCAAGAACCACATTTCCCCGAATGAAACAACGTGGACAGCTCTCAAGCCTATTGGGCCGCTAAGACCGTGGCTAGAAGAAAGTATTTTATCCGACCAATACATACACGCCACGCGTCGCCAATCGGAGTCGATAGAATTTCGAATTCGGAATTAGATTCGTTTCCTTTTATCCCGGCGAGATTGATCTAACCCCTTAGGCCGGTTCGATCTCGATCGGGTTGGTGGGGCGAACCGGAGCAAACTCCCGTCGACCCACTTTTTTAAGTGACGAACATGTTCGAAGGCTTCGATCGATGGAACGAGGCCGAGACTCTTGAACGCGGTTACAGAATTTATACTAAATTCCCGGTGTACTAAATGAGGTGCCAATTGACGCGACGGATGTCATGTCATTTAGTAGATGCCGAGTATCATCGGCCCGAAGAGGGAAATGGCCGAAATTTTTTTTTGCTCTTTTTCCATACGCGAGCTTCACGGTCATAATTTCAATTATCTGACCGATGGGCAAAATGTACAGGGGAAATAGTTGAAATCGAAATACTTGCACGCTTCCGGCGTGCGCGAACCCAAGAGCAGTTGGATCACGAGGGCCCTAGATGGATCCCACGCCGTTCGAGGGCCGAGATGATCCGGGCTCACGTGCACCGGTCGCACGCGAAACGATCTCATCGAAGCGTCGGCATCGCGAGTTGCTTGAATGGCAAGGATTTTTTCCTTTCTTAAGTCGAACGGGGCTTTTACTAATCCAGCTTTTTGACAATTGACATTTCGCCAAACACAAGATGGACAATGACACGGTCATTGTTTATAGCTAGTCTGCAGCGAGCTTTGGCAGCCAGCCTCGATGTCTGGCCTGGTCTTATCCCGACTTCGATGGAACACTACCCCGAACCGCACCGAGATTTTGCTTTATAAAAATTATTCCGCTAAGTAGAAAATTATTGGGTCGGCTTTTCTAAATAAGCGGGTCGTATTCGACGTTATTCTCAAACAATGAACCTGCCCCGTTGGCCAATGAACTTTTCCGAGTTCTTTTCACTTATCGGACACGGTCATGGCGAAGAATAAGGTACGATTTCTCATCTGTTGTTTACGGAGGCAAGGCGGCAGACCAGGAACATATTCCGTTCAAAGTAGAGGCCTCTATTACATCCACAGAAAACTGCGCATCTTTGTGGAAGGATAATGCGTATTTGCTGCAGAGTGGCTTAGGTTTCGTGGAAGACACCAGAAGCTTTGGAGACTTTTATATCGGTAGGGTTTCGACATCGACGTGTTTTTGTTCGAGTTTTGATCGGCCAATTCTTGTAACGACGCGATCTGTTCCACGCGGGTCGAGTCTCTTGGAAAAGTACGCGAGGCAGCCCCGCAAGGTGGCGACCGTTTGGGATGGGCGGTGGCTTGTTCGCCACTCAGCATGGTCTCTTTGGTCCGACGGAACGACGTGGGATGTCGAGCTTTTTTTTTTTTTCCTTTCTTCTTTTCATTTTATTCCCGTCTCACCTCGTGTAACTCGTATTCAAGAATCACCTCTGTACACAAAGTCCTGAATTTTATTATAACAATTCACGCGACGTCGATAATATTACAATTCTATTCACAAGATCGTCATTTTCATCCTCTAAAATGCTCGTCGCCGTACTTTTTGCCACCCGCCAAAGAGGAATTTTCACAAAATCCCGGCCTCCTTGTACTCGCTTTCTTTCTCTTCTCTCTCCTTCCTTTTCACAATTCGTCTCACCACATCACCACGCCCCTTTCGTCGATTGACGGAAAAATCGTCCAAAAAATCATAAATCTATTGCACTTTTATCAATTCAGTTCTAAACCTTTTAAGTTTGTCAATTCAATCCTAAACATTTTCGCTTCTTGCCAATTGAGTCCATCCGGTCAACATTGACTTGGTAATTTTTAAATATTTCATTTCAAATTTTTTAATGTTTTTTTCTTCATCTTTTCTGCCTTCTTCCCTATGGCCTCGATCCGGCGAGGTCGGCCTGGCAGCGGGGGGCAAGGCTCGCCTTTGCCGGTAGCTAGCGGGGGCGAGCTTAACCAGAGTCCGGCGAGGCCGACCTCACCATTTTTGCAGCAAAGAAGAAGAATATTTAGGGCCCGTTTGGTAACGTGCCAAATAGTAAAAATTTCCATTCTTTTGTTCCCAGAAATAGTTTGGGAACAGAAATGCGTTTGGTAAACTTTTTATTCCTTGGCACATTTTTACAAAAATTTGTGCCGAGAAACAGTTTTGGAAGAGAAACAAGAAGTAAAAAAAGTTGCTTCTTGTTTCTAAGCACAATTTTGAGAATCAGTTTTTTTTCTTTTTTTCTTTTCTTATTTTGTGGTGTTGTTCTTCCGGGCCGAGTCTGGCCGCGGCGACCGGCCACAGCCCCAGGCCGCGAGGGCGTCACGGCCCTCGCCGCCGGCGGAGGCGAGGGTCGCCCTTGCCGGCGAGGGCGAGGGCTGGACCCTCGCCGCCGGGCGAGGCGGCCTCGCCCAGATTGAGCGAGGCCGAGCCTCGCCGTCGCGACCGACGGCGAGGCTCGGCCGTCTCTGGGCGAGGTTGTCCTTGCCGGCGAGGGCGACCCTCGCCTCCGCCGGCGGCCGGCAAGGGCCGTGACGCCCTCGCCGGCCCTGGGCTGTGGCTAGTCGCCGATCGCCGGCGACCGGCCATGGCCAAAGAAGAAAATCGGTAAAAAAAAAAAAATTTAACAATTCAAAATATTATTAAAATATTATTTGGGAATAGAAATTTTGTGTAGTTACCAAACGCATTTCTGTTCTTTTCTACTCTAGGAATAAAAATTTTAGACAGTTTATCAAACACCTTCAAATACTCAGAAATTATTTCCGTGCACAGAATAAAAAAAAATCATTTCTGTTCAGAAATAAGTCCCGGACACAGAATGGTATTCATGCGTACCCTTAGAAAAATTCCTTTCACGGTTTTTGACCCTCGCGACGTACACGTGGGACGATGTGAACGGACGGGTCGTACTTATCCCCATATAGCATAGCGTACGCCCCCCACCCATAGAAACTCCCGCACGGAGAGCCTCGCACCCTATAAAAGCCCTCCCCCGCACAACATCCGAAGTCCCCACGTTTTCCGTTCTCTGCGAAACCGCCATTTCCCCAGAGCAGCGGAGGAAGCAGAAGCAGCCGCCACCACGGCCAGCTTTCCAAGAAGAGCAACCGGATTCCTCTGCCGTTCCTGCCGCAAGTAGAAGGTCGAGGAAAAGGGGAAGCGAAAGCAAAGAGGGTGGGAAGCATCTCCCTTTCTTGGCAGTCTTTGAACGGGGAGGGGGTATCGGATTCGTTCGCGTCGTGCGGCGGAGAGTATGACGGCGGGGTCGTCGTTGCGGAAATAGGGGGCGCCGAGGGGAAAAGATATTTTTTGGGGGTGGGGAATGAGGGAAGGCGGCGAGGAGGAGCCGGACGAGGCGAGCTCGGCGGGGGCGGCGGCGGCGGCGGCGGACCTGTTGACCCACTTCCGGCGCGATCTGGCGGCGGGCGCCCTGATGGGGGGCGTGGTGCACACCATCGTGGCTCCCGTCGAGAGGGCGAAGGTGCTGCTGCAGACCCAGGAGAGCAACCCGGCGATCGTGGAAGGCCGGCGCAGGAGGTTCCGGGGGATGTTCGACTGCATCTTCCGCACGGTCCGGGAGGAAGGCGTGCTCTCCCTCTGGAGGGGCAATGGGAGTAGCGTGATCCGTTATTACCCCTCCGTGGCGCTCAATTTCTCTCTCAAGGTACGTTTGGCATTGTGGGTTTAGCGTCTCTGGGTAATCTTGATCATGGACTGGCTGCTCTTGTTGGAGAGGTTAATGTCGAAAGCCGCCTTCTTTTCTTTTCTTTTCTTTTCTTTTTTTCTCTCTCCGGGATGGGTTCGGCGCGAACGTGATTTTATTGGAGGAAGTATGGTTGGGATCGTTGGCCTGTCTTTGTGTGTCCGTGGAATCTTTTGCAGAGATGGTTTGGTGGAGAGGTTAGGTATGGAGAGTGTACTCAAGTATGCACGTGACGTGGTTGATGAAATGCTCCCCTGATGTTGCGGGTGTGATTAGGCAATGGACTTGCCAGGGGAACTTGTTTGATGCGGAGAAGCAATCGATGCATTTGTGCCAGAATCATTTCTTGATGAAAGAGCAACGTATGTTGCATTGATGGGATGGTTCTTTAGAAACTATTGTATGTATGTAGTTAGATGTCGCGTGTTAGGTGATTATGAGAAATACTGCCGTGGTTGTTCAGTGCACCTCCGTATTGTAATGTTAGAGCACTGCTCTGCTTCAAATGCTTTTCATGAATGGTAAGCTGAATTAGTTTTCACAAACTCTTGGTAAGAAGAAATCCTGGCTAGTGGCTAATATACGAAGAAGAGCTGGTGGGCATGCTAGCAATTCAAATGAAGTGAAGCTTAATTTGGTTTCTGACAAATACTTTGGGATCATCTAGTGAGACATGATGTTCGGCAGCTACGGCTTCGAATAATTTACTTCCTGCTACAAGAGGAGCTTTAGAATGGAAAAGTGACTTAAATGTGATGAAACGGGATACAGTTTTACAACAGAGAATACCATATCAAGAAACTTTTGGTTCCTTCCAAATATCTTTGTTGTTGTCCTGTACAATATTCGGTTCTGCTTGAAAGAGCTCTGAACGTGCAAATTGTTTGAGATTGTCATGCTTTGTATATGACAGTCTACACGATCTTTTGATAATTTGACTTAATTGGAGCTGTATGACAACTTCACTGAAGCCAGTGGTTTTTAGGTGAAACCCTTGATAGTCTCTAGTAATACGCCCTTCGTCCAGGATTACTAGACAGGCGTCGTTAGCTTCCATAGTGTTTTGTTACGTGAATAATGTGAAGAGATGAAGTCTCAGAAGCATGATCAGCAGGACCAAATTGTTTCTGGTCTTACTTTGGTCTGTTTTGTTTGTTCAAATTTTAGCTGGTCTAAAGCATGCTGTTGAAAAGGATGTTACTGCAGTATTGTCAGATTCTTTGACAGAGTAACCAAATAGAAATGAATGGAAAAGTCCAATACCATCGCATTGATTGAGTGCGTTAGTATATGTTCCTCCAATTACCTTAATGGTTTGTGTCGTTTCATTACTTAGTATATGTTCAGATATTCAAGTGATGTAGAGATACCGTGGATGATCTATGCACTCTCTTGGACTGCTCATGTGGTGGCCAACTTACGGTGCTCGTTTATTTTGCAGGATTTGTACAGAAACATGTTAAGGAGGGGTGATTCTCTGAATGGTCACTTCATTTCAGGTGCACCAGCCAACTTCATTGCTGGGGCTGCTGCTGGTTGTACAACTTTGGTCTTGATATACCCACTTGATATTGCTCACACCCGTTTAGCCGCTGATCTTGGGAGAACAGAGGTTCGTCAGTTTCAAGGGATTTATCATTTCTTGGTCACCATATGCAAGAAGGACGGCATCCGAGGGATTTATAGAGGACTTCCTGCATCACTTCATGGAATGGTGATTCACCGTGGCTTATATTTTGGTGGATTTGATACAATGAAGGAAGTATTGTCCGAGGAATCAAAGACTGAATTGGCACTGTGGAAGCGCTGGTTGGTGGCTCAGGCAGTCACAACATCAGCCGGTTTGGTGTCTTATCCTCTTGACACAGTCCGGAGGCGGATGATGATGCAATCTGGATTGGAGAAGCCGATGTACAGCAGCACATTTGATTGCTGGAGAAAGATTTATAGAATGGAGGGAGTAGCTTCTTTTTACCGTGGAGCAGCTTCAAATGTGTTCAGAAGCACGGGTTCAGCTGCAATTTTGGTTTTGTATGATGAGGCCAAGAAGTTTTTGAATAGGAGCAGATTATAGTGGAAATTACTTTGACAGCATCGATTCTTTCCTTTTCTTTTCGTGAAATGGTAGAAGGAAATCCAGTCAAGCAAACCCTTGATTGTCTCTAGTAATCGGAGCTGTCTAAACTGACCCATTTTCTTTCCTTTTCTTTTCGTGAAATGGGTCAGTTTATACCACTTGTGCGGCTCACATAATTGATATCTCCAAAACTACACTACAGTTGCCATTCAGTTTTTGAGGCTATGGCAAATTAAGTCTCGATATTTTGTTACCAAATAAAGAGGTCGAGGTTCCCATTTTGCTAGAAATCTTGTTTCGAGTTTGAGTACCGTGCATGTGTTTGAATACTCTGAATTTCGACGCTTTATGACTTGTTCTATGTCGACAACTCAGTCGAAACGTTGTCAGTTATCACAGTGAGGAAGACACTCCACGACATCGGGATGAATTTCCTTCTACTGATAACTGTCCCATTGCCATCGCTAAAATCTATTCCGTTGACATTGGGCCACTTTGCCTGTCCATGCGCCAGTTTTTTATGGTAAGCTTCGGATGGTGCTTCTTGATGAAAAATGACATGGGTTTCTGAACCCATCAGGCATTTGCTTAATGCTGCTTCAACTCAGAGGGATGAAGGTAATAGAAGGAGGCATTTATATGCTGCTTTTTTGTTTTTGTTTTTGGTCAAGCATGCCAAACGAACTTCGTGATTTTCGCTTGCCTGTTCTTTATTCAATTTCCACTTGAGCAAACATAGATTTGATTGGGCTAGTCTATCGTTGCCGAAGGAGACTGTCGTCACAATAATTTATGCTTGTACACATATGGACTTCATGTATGCATTTATAATGAGCTTTGGTTGAACTCTCACTCGATTCTTGCTATCGAAATTCATAAGTGGCGTGCGGGCGCAGAGACAAGGTCTCTGACCAACAGCTAGCAATGGACTTCGATTTGGTGATGATTGGCCGGCCACAAGCGAAAGCTAGAGACGTAGATCCATTTCGGTCTTGAATCACTTCTGCTTTCTTACATTCAAGCATCATTGTCAAATCCGTATGCCTGGTAATATCCAGCCTAACCGATAGCACACAGCAAGCCGCAACCCGGAAGATTTTCCGTGAACAAATCCAGCCGCTCCTATTCGAATTTTTCATGGGAACTTCCCCTGAAAACGATTGTCCACAACAGAAGCGAACGCCAACACAGACTAGGTCCAAAGCTCAATTCATCTGTCTCTAGTGCTCGCAAGTCACAAGCAACCCCTCACCATCAAAACCCCGCATTAATATGCTTTGGCACCATCCTTTGTGCGGGGGAATTTAAAAAGACGAAAAGGAAAAGACCCGAAACATTAAAATATAGCAAGAGAATGATACCATGAGTCCATGACTCACTTAGCTCCTCTTTCCTTCTTCCCCAAGTGATGTGCGGCTTGACCTTGGAATATGTCCTTTTTGGCTGCATGTACAGCTTTTTTCCTGCGGTTTTGGCACAGCGCACGCGATCCAGGGGAGGTGGCAAGCCTCTAATCAGCGTGGTGGAAAAGGCTTAAACAATGGGCTTCCAGAGTTTTTCTTTTTCCCTAATTAGGTGGATTGGATGCGTGCAGACATTTTAGAAATACACCCAAATGGAAAAAGCAAAGTGGGGGGAGCCCCCCACAACGAAAGCCAAAAGCAGCCAAAATATGAATTCACCTCCCCTGGAAAAAGTGGTGCTTAGAATAAAGAGGAATAAAACAGGGTGGAGCCCTGAAAACCCCTGCCACGAAGGAACTCTGTGTGCGTGTGTGCTGAGTGAGACCCAATTCCATTCTCTACTCTCTTCAAGCCAGCCAGCCAGCCAGCCAGACACACACCTTGGAATAAGCCAAACATGTATGGGGATGCAGCAGGTGTATAAGCCTTTTGTATGATGATGGACGCGCCATGGACACGGCCAGACGTGAACGGGTACTGTGTTACTACGATTCGTTGCTGCGGTGAGAGAATTGACGGTTGGGGAGATTCTTATCTTTTGCTCGGGCACTCGAGATTCGTCGCGGGTCCCGACCTTTTCTGCCGTCGAATGGAAGCCACCGCTTGGATGACACGTTCGAATCGCTGCAAAAGGCAAAAAAAGAGGAGAGTGATGCTGGGGGCGTACCTTAAATCAGTTTATAAAATACATGTAATCATGAGACGGGGCCTATCATTGGAGATGCTTTAAACACTTTATCACGTCACTGGTTCCTTTTGTTTCGCAAAATACATCTTCTTTATTTTCCGACCTTTGATTCGAGACGGGACCTATTATTAGAAACGTTTTAAATAATTTGTCACATCACTAATTTTGTTTGTTTCACGAAAAACATTTTCTTCATTTTCCGGTATTTGATTCGCTTAGGAAAATTAGTCAACAGAAAATGTTTTCCTAATCGACGGATAAAATTTTCCCACCGACACTTAAATTCGAGAAAATGATTTTTGATTTTTGAATCGTAAATCATTTTCCCGAGACATCAGTGCTTTGGATGCTAGGCCCGAAAATAGCCATCCTATGTCGCATGACCAACGCTGACGTGGGCAAAATTTACAATTTAAAAAAAAATCGAATTTTTTAATAATTTTTTCTTTTCTTTTTATTTTTTTTCTTCCTCCACCAGTCTCCAAGCCTCGGTAGCTAGCCACAGGAGAGGGCTGGCCTCGAGCAAGGCTCCACCTCACCGGGATCTGGCAAACTCGAGCCTCGCCAGCCTCAGGCGAGGCTTGACCTCGTTCAGATATGGCGAGGTCAAGCTCGCTCGGGGCCAGTCGCCGGCCGTCACTAAGGCCTAGAACCCAGCGAAGGAAGAAAGAAAAAAAAATGAAAATTTTGAATTTTTTAAATATATATCAACCATGCCATGTAAGATGGCTGGCGTTCACGTTAGTAATTTCCAACCAAATGAGATTTTCCTTATCAAACAACATAAAATATTTTCTAGTTCATTTTCATGACTCAATCAAACATCAGAAAATATTGTTGTTTTCCTTAAAGATAATTTCTTGGAAAACATTTCCCAGAAATGCCACATTTTCTGCGAAATAAATGGAGTTTTAATGTATTCACTTTAGGGAAAAAGCCACAAAAACCCTAACAATGTAGCGCATTTACCCCAAACTTTTTTTATGACACCAAAAACTTCAAACTTATATCAGCCTAACATATTTACCCTAAATTTGTACTCGTGTAAAGTATTTACTCCAAACTTTTTTTGTAATACAAAAGACTACAAATTTGTATCATGTGACACATTTATCACAAACTTATTTTTTTATGACACAAAAAATTCCAAACTTAAACCCGCGCCACACATTTATCCTCTGTGGAGATTTTTTGTTCCCTTTTTTCTTTTTGCCTTCGTCCTTCATCTTCACCGCCACCCTCGCAGCCACCGCCATCCTCACCGTTGCCAAACCAACGAAGAAAACGAAGGAGGAAGTTTAAAAAAAAAGGAAGAAGAAAATAAGAAAAGAAAAACATACAATGAGTTGACATATTTGTATCACGTCAGCATCGATTGTTTTCCATCGTCCATGTAGGCATCTACATAAGAATTTTAGCGGCGTTTGTTGGCGGAATTTTGACGGAGGGTAACAAGGTTTGAATTAATATCTCACAATGATACAAGTTTGAGGTTTTTGATGCAAAAAAAATAAGTTTGGGATAAATGTGTCACATAGGTATAAGTTTGGAGTTTATGGTGTCACAATAAAAATTAGGGTAAATTTGCGACAGTCGACATTATTTGAAGTTTTTTTGACAACTTTTTCCCTTAATTTAATGTATCATTACTAATATTATTTAGCACCATCAAAGAAAATCAAAGGTGAGAAAGCACTCTGGGGGAGATGCTGGTGATGGTCGAAGCTGCTGTCATCATGTCCTTTCCAGGGCCCAAATATAAATAAGAGATGGGTTCCCAACTTCCCATTGATGGAAAGTGGTGGGTTTAATCTAGCTCTTGCCCTTGATTCACCACCACCTCTCCCATCCCATCTTCTTTTTCCTTAAAGTAGGAAAAAAAAATCTTTAAAGTTGATACGGTACTATAGACACTTCATCATCAGACAGGTGGGACGTAAATCATTGGGGCCATGGTCTAGAAGCATACATACTTTTCAATACATTGAGACTTCAAGCGCTCGGTTCATATGGAAAATTACCTAAACCCATTCGAAAACCGAGTGGCGGTAAAGGGGTCGTTGCACCTCCACGTCGGTCTTCTTCGTCCGCACAATTCGTGTCTAGGATTATCGACTAGAGTCGTGACTGATCGCGGGTCATTTGGGAATTAGTCACAGGGGAATGGAGCAAATTTTGAAGAAGGATGAACCATAGCCCGGAGTCAATCTTCCACGCCAGTAAAAAGGGGCAATGAGAAGCAGAAGCATGGCCCTTTTTGGTTCTTTGTTTTCTGAGATCATTCTATATGGGATTCTTCTGAGATGAAGCTCTGCAACTCGCGAGAGTCAATGGAGAGAGAGCGGGGCACGTGCATAGAGGCACTATAGCTGATGAGAACGCAGTTTTTGGCGCTATTAGATTTGGAAGAAGAGGAATTGAGTAAGATGCGCAGGCATGACAGGACACCTGACTTGCTTCCCCCCCTTTGGGCCTTTTCCTTATGGACAAAAGTGAATCCTTTTTTTCGTCGTTTTCTCTCTCGCAATCTTTTAATCGTTCATGGACCACGTTAAAATCGGCCTAGTTGCCTTATAAAGTACCGAATTTTATTTGAATCCCAATTCCGGCTCCAACTTTTTTTTTTTTTTAATTTCTGGTATAAAAAACGTCAACTTAATTCGAGTCCCGATCTTGATCTAAAACCTTTCTGTTGTTGCCTCGTTAAAAAAGCACCGACTTTCGATCGGTACCCAAATCTAGCACCCATCAAGTTTTTTTCCGTCCACTTATGCCGGAAAAGATGCGACATGTCATTTCACGTGTGATCGGCGACTCACAACTGTGTTGACGTGGAAAGATAGCACACATCCTAATTCCTTGACGCCGTCAATCGTGAGTTCAAGGTTTTGTTTTTACCAGTTTTCGGACATATTCGAATTCAGTGAATTGCTCGTTTGTGCCCCGTTTGCCCTTAGGTAAGTCATTTCTTTAATCCATCTTGATTTTTGTCGCCAGAATCCAAACTGTAATGCTCGCGACTCCTCCTCTCGCTTGGTTCGAAACTATTCAGATTCTAGTAGTGGCTCCATAGCCGTGAAACGTCAAGTACATGTAGAATGATAGGACGAATCTTTAACAGTATCGTGGGATAGAACTTTGACGAGGGCCAATTTTGAGTATCAACTGAAAGTTCACGTTTTTTTATGAGACAAAAATAGTTATGACCAAAATTGGTAACCGGGTTTAAGTTTGTACTTTTTTATGATATAAAAAAATTATGTACTGGGATCGGAGCTAAAATTGGTGTTCTTTCAATGAATTGAGCCCATAAAAATATACTACTGCTACTATTTTATTTCTTATTGTTTGATGCACGAGCCCGTAATAATGAACTTATCATGTGTCTGTTGACCTATAAGACACACTTAGATACATTAATTGGATAGGTATGATACATTTAATCAATTTTCCAAGTTTGCATATAAAGATTCTTATATTAAACATATCAAACAACGTAATTCATTTAATAAAATGTGTCATATCTAATCTTCAAAATAGTGTTAGGATTAACATTTTCGTTGTGTTTGGCCTCGATTTAGACTTAAATTCAATGGAACACGGTCACAATACAAAAACACCAATTGTTAGTCTGCTAATCAATCGTTCTTAAATCTATTAAAGTTGGGCTATTGATTGGAGCACCGTAGGATTTCCATCTCGGTAACTAGATGTCACGTGTTCAAATTTCACCAGTTGCATTTAAATGGATCACTTGCGCAAGTCCAAGATCTGAATTTAACTTATTCATGGGACTTGTGGGGCGTTTTATATAGGGTTGAGCAACGACCCAATTTAAATCCTGAAACTGGACTAGATCGACATTGTGTGGTCCAATTTCGGGGTTAAGGTGCCGAACTAGACTGGTGGACTAGCCCTAGTCTAATCATAAATCGAATCCATTTTAGCTATGTTCGTTGTTTGTTTTGTTTTCAGGTTGATAGAATTCGACTCGATCTTTTAATGGATGAATAAGGAATGAAGTTCTATAATTCATGTGTTTACATTACGTGTTTTGAAATTTTTATTATTTATATTATTTTACGCGTTCATATTTTACGGGGTTGTTGCTTTTGGTAAATGGAGATTTATGCTGTCGCTTTAGTTTTCATTTTGTTTGACTAAGAGATAAGTTGGATAACTCGCAGTCATTTTAGATTTCTGTTTGGCTTTTATCGGTATTTTACTTCTCGCCATTTTGTTGCTATGTATCGCAATTCCAAATATTACGTGGTGATGGACATACATGAACTTTGAAAACGTAAGCTTACCCTTTTAAGGAATAAATAAAAAAGAAGAAGTAGAAGAATCAACCGGTTTTCTAGACCGACCCTGGAACCGGACCGAACCAACAGGGTCAGTTCCAAGAACCGAAATCTAGGAACCAATCCTGTACCGGGAGGTTTCAATTTCCAAGGCTGGATTGGCCCATTTCTGGAACCGCTCACCCCCTGATTTTACGGCTCCCTAAGCCGTTCCACAAAGTACACTTCCGCCCTTGTATATATTATAAAGAAAAATTCATTCTAGGGCCATAAATTTCTTGTCAAAAGATGAAATTCCAAATAAAGAATGGGGGGAAAAAAAGTCCTCGGGCGACTGGGGATCGAGGCTTTAACCATTAGAAAAAACAACCCCACTCCCCCCTCGCTCTTTTATTTTAGGAATTGATCAAAGACCCGAATTGAATGGAAACCCGAGAATTTAGAGAACCAATGGGCTCTTTTGTCGTCACTTGCCCAAACTTTATAAAAAAGAAAAAGAACAAAAAAATTGAATAAGTTTGCCGATCCATGCATGAATGAAAGTCTAAATCAACTTTTGCCTTCGTCTCTTTTTTTAAATTGGGCGAGCGATCTCACCACCACCTTCGTACAGTTTCTTTTTAAAGGGGCTGAGCTAAAGTCACCATCTTTCCATCCCTACTGAGACTACCCCCAAACTTGAAGAAGACCTCCTCCTCCTCCTCCTCGAAAGCGAGAGCCGTCGCTTTCCTTCCCTTCCCTTCCCTTCCCTTCCTCCCATTCGTTAGGAAATTAGGAATTCAGAAGAGAGGATGATTACATCGTTTTTTCAAGCAATTCGGTATAACGGACAACTTCGAAAAGGGGGTTTTTGCTGATGCATCACCACGTTCCGTGTAAAAAATCTTCTGAATCAGAAAAGGATCGGAACCCATTCTTAGAGCGGTGGATCCGAACGGGGCTCGTCTTTCCGCCGGTGTTCTAATCGACCGGGGACGAACACGAGCCGCTCGAAATCAACGAGGAACACACGATCCCCTCCTCCGCTTCATCATCGCCATCACCAAAATAATAATAAAAAAACAAAAAAACAAAAAAAAAAAAATCCCCCTCCCATAAATAATTTCATTTTATTTAAAAAAAGGAGGAGGAAGAAGGAGATATTTGTGACGTTAACGGTCCGCAATAAAAACCCTACAAAAGAAAAAAAAAAAAAAGGAGGAGGAGGGCTATCGAAAGAAGAGAAGACCCACGTCATAAAAATCGCTTCATGACCCAATAATTGCCGCCCCTTGTCGTCATCTCGTGGGGCCCCTCCCTCCTCTTCGATTGCGCTGCTTTTAGAGAGTTCGTCACGCAACCGATTCGTTCCGTATGCTCTTGGCTCCCCCTCCCCCCCCTCCCATCCCGTATTCTTCCTTCGGTTTTTTGCAAAACCCAACCCCAATTCATAACTCGCAAGAAGGGTCGAAGTTCCGCGAACCGGAAGGGGGGGGCGGCGAATCGCGACGGTCCCCATCGATGGGAAGAACGACCATACACGATCGGGATCGGGGGGGAGGGGAAATTAGCAATTTTTCCGTGCGTTCGTTCTTCGAGATGCGAGGTCGGGAGATCTCAACACGTTAAGGAGATGTAGATAGAGAAAGATTGGGATTTCAATGAAAAGGGCAGCAAGATTAATAATAATAATGATGCGAATTTTTAGCATTGAATTGACACATTCCAATATCAAAACTATATAGAACAGAGTACTAATAAAGAGCTGATGCACGGTCGGCTATTTTTGCGCATTACGCAAGAGGCGTCCTCCCTCGTCTCGTGGCTCCCGGATGCGCGCGCTTCGCACGCCGTCCTCGAGCGAAAACGGACGGTCGGGATCGCTCGGGCCATTCGCCGGCGGATTGTAATGGGGGGGGCTCGGACCCGCCGGACCAGTGAATGTTGCCCCCGCGGCACACGCGTCGATCGGCTGCAGCGAGTACAAAGGAGGAAGGGAGAAGGGAGAAGGAGGAGGAGATTATTGAGCTAATTTTTTTGGCTTTTGTGCAATTACAGTACAAGAAGAGATGGGAAATCAAGGGGAGAGGTGGTGATGAGCTGAGGGAGCTAGATTAGCTACTTGACGGGTGGAGAACCCCGCCGGGGGTTCAGGAGGGGATGGGGTGGTTGTAGAGGGCGCCGACGGCGACGAGCATGGGGATGAGGCGGCCGGAGAGGTGGAGGGCGAAGAGGGAGTCGAGGCCACCCACGGGGGAGCCGCCGATGAAGGCGGAAGGGGTGGAGGCGCCGTCGCCGAGGGAGCAGATCTCGTCGTCGTCGAGCTCGATGACGGTGGGGTGGACCCCGATGGTGCCCAGGAGCTTCTTCATGACGTGGCACATGCAGCAGGACGACCGGCTGAAGATGATCACCGGGTGCTCCGATATCAGGCGCTGGATCCGGGCCTCCGCCGGCTCCGCCTCGTCGATGGACAGGGACGCCGTGGAGGCGGAGGCGGAGGCCGAGGAGGTGGTGGTGGCCGTGGCCGTGGCGGCCGACAGGTCGAGCCCCGCTGCCTCGTTCGAGCAGCGGCGGCGCTGGACGCCTTGCATCGCGGGCGAGGTAGGCGGCGGCGGCGGCGGCGGCGAGTGGGCGGAGTAAGGCGGAGGAGCTTGGGGCGGAATTCTTCACAATTATGTGAGCGAGAGAGAGAGAGAGAGATTGGACGGAGGAAGGCGGAGGAGCTTGAGACGAATTTTATAATTACGAGAGAGAGAGAGAGAGAAGGGGGGGGGGGGGGGGAGGTTGCGTGTGCTGACGTCACGAAGTGACAGTACAGATTAAAGGTCGCAAAATAAGTCTGTTTCCTCTTCCCCAGATGCGAAGAGCCACCCTTCGGGGGAAAGTGACGTGGCAAGCTGTCTGTGTTTTTTCATTTTTTAATCTTATTTCTAATTTCCTAATTTTTGCTTTATCTCTTATAAAGTGCGGGAGTCGAACTCTACGCCTGTGATACTAGAGTCCACACCCCCAATCCCTTTATTAACTAAACCGCATACCTATTAGCAGTGTTTAAACACGATCCGTCTATTTACATATATATATCTACTTGTAAACATCGTATCACATTTGCTTTACTGCTGTTGCAAACATTGTTGGTGCTAGGAAGAAGTATTTCTTCTTCTTTTTTTTGTCGTAATCAACCGTAACTACGGTACATGTGTCGTGCGCTCGAGAGATGAGCAGTTGAAATTTGCTCTTGGTCGCGACCTCGCCTCGCACGTGACAGCCGCGCGGAAGCAGCAGTTCTCACTCGTCAGGCATATCGATTCCTCTAGTGACGATAAAAGAAATCGGGGCACCAATTATGGAAAAAAAAAAAAAAGGGCGGGGCAGGTATCACCTCCTTCGTTGCGGATCGGGAAAAATTGAAAGAAGGTATGGCGAATAACAGTGTTCGCTAGATAAAAAAGAAAAAAAAAACGCGAACCACGGCGTAAAAAATATGGCTAATACAGGTAATTAAACTGTTTAATCCGTTGTTTACTTTCAACAAGGCAAATTTAAAATATTCGGCGAAAAAGGACAAATTCAAGTTTCAAGCCAAAAATGAGCTTCCGGGGGGGGAGGAGAGAACCAAAGGAGGGTAACTTCCGGGTCGGGTCGGGTCGGCAAAGGGCGCCCGAATCGGTGAGCATTGAATAACTCGAACGAAACGCGATCTCTCTTAATGACGCTTGCGTCACCTCGACGGCCGTCCTGAGCCGTCGGATCGAATCCGTGACGTAACCTGGGGGGGCGCTGGCGTGGAGCACGGATCCTGGGGGGGGGCGCTGGCGCGGCGGGCCCCACATCCCCTCCCGGGCCCGCGTCACCGTGACGTCACCTAAAAGGGACACGTGGCGTGCCGCCGTACCTTCCCTTTCGGCCATGGATGAAGATTGGTTTTCTCGGAGCTGTGGATGACGCGGCTCGCGCGGGCCCCACCACGTTTCGAAGCGAGAAAAACCCTCCGTACGGCGGCAGAAGGCCGGGCCCCACCGCACTTTGGTTTAGCGCAAGCGGTTAAGGAAATCAAATTTTTGTGAACTAATCACAAATGCTAATACGGTCGAAACGAAGCGAGTGACCTCCTCAAAAAGCGACCGGATGTGTCGTATGACGAACGAAATAACCATGAAGTCTAGTGTCGGTCGGACAGATCAACGTTTGGTGGAAATTAATGTACTGATGTACGATCCGGCTTTCCTGTTCCGATAATATGGACGGTTCCGTCGGCCACCTCGCGACGGGTCCCGGATTTTTCCCTTTCCGAGCTTTCGCGGGATCGAATCGAGCTATCGATGGCGTCGTTACGGTGACGAGGCATATCGGTGCTATCGCGGCGGGGGTCTGGACCCCCGGGTCGTCGTGCTCGTCGGCGAGCGATGGGTGGTGGGGGTCATTCGATTTGAGACCACGGGCGTCTCAGGAGGTACGCAGTGTCCCCACATTGCGCGGCGCGGCCGGCGAAGGTCACGAGCCATGTATGCAAAGGGGGATTGATTGCATCATCCTCACCTTCACCTTCGAAGGGACAACGGCCAGCTCGATCCTCTTTTTCTATGGGGTCCTACGTGAATTATTGCACGTCAAAATCGCAGGGCAAAAAACCAAAGAATCTTGGCGATTTGGCTTCACGTTACAACCTAGTCATTATTGCGCACACGGGGTTCCTCTGCATCAGTCGATGAACATTCAGTGCTATCTTGCGCAAGATGTTTTCCCTTTAGGCGTGATTTTCATTTAATGTGTTGATCTTCCCAGCATAGGGAGGTCCAGGTGATTTCATTTAATGTCTTGTCTCGCCCGTTTAAAATTAAGGTAGGAAAACTGCAATTGGAACAGTTTCTGTGGCAAGAGGCAGCAAACAAGAAGAAAAGCAATGAATGATTGACGGCCGGGCACCACCGGGAGTGGAACCCGCGGCTTAATTTGACTCGATACGGGAAAACTTACCAGGTCCAAACATAGCAAGGATTGACGGGAAAATTACCAAAAGAGTCTTAAATATATTACAATTGTACCAATTCGATCCAAAACATTTTTTTTTAATCAATTGAGTTCTAAACATTTTGTATTTGTGCCAATTCAGTCAGTCCGATCAATTTTGGGCGGAAATCACTGACGTGACGCCACTGCGCTGACATGGACAATTTTATAATATTTTAAAAACTTTACGAATCTTTTATTTTATTTAACTTTTCTCGTTTTTCATTGAAGATGACGAGGCCCGACCTCGTCGTCATTGGGCCGGCAAGGGTCGAGCCTTGCCGGCCATGGACGAGGCCTGACAAGGTCCACCTCGCCTAGCGATGGTGAGGTCGAGCAGTGCTGCCGGACATAATGAAAAAACGTAAAAAAAAAAAGAGAGAAAATAAAATAAAGTAGTAATAAAAAAATTCATAAAATCTTCTACGTCAGTACCGACAGCGCCATGTCAATAGCTTCCGGTCAAAATTGATCGGATCGACTGAATTGGCACGTCCCTCAAAGACAGGCGGATAAAGAGCTCTTCCTTAATTCTACGGATGAGGTCACGCCCGACACCAACCCACATCGACCCATGCACGCAATCGGAGCTCACCGAAACCGTCACCGAGCGACGTTACGTCCGCAAGACCTTTCGGCCTGCTCCACGAAATTGCCTCCGGATCGGCCGGCGGGAACCCCAGAAGGAGCGACCCACGCAGCCGAAATCATTGAATGGGTCGACTGCGCAGGGCCCTGGCAAAACCAGCAGCGGCGCTCTGAGTTGACAGTGCCAATTGCCCCTCTCTCTCTCTCTCTCTCTCTCTGTATTTACTCTTTCCTCGAACCCAGCAGCAACGAATGGCAAGAGAAAGCCAAAAAGAAAGAAGCAAAAGATGGAGAAGAGATGACAGCATTGCCTTCACTTCACTTCACTTCTGTCCTTCTGCTCCTGGCGATGTTTTTTTTTACCCGGGCATACGAAAAAGTACCGCCTTCACATCCAAATCCGGACCGCGTCGGCGGCTCCCCCGGCCCGCATCCGCCGACCCGCCCCGCCCCCTGCGGAAGCATAAATTTGGCGGGTCATGCCCCCTGTGGAGCCGCCCGATCGAGCTCGCTTAGGTCCGGTCAATTCCTCAGCAGATATGAACGTAACTTTCGTATATAGGTAGATACCCAATGGAAATCGATGCGGAGATTTTCTGGTACGAGTGGAGCCGCCCGATCGAGCTCGCTTAGGTCCGGTCAATTCCTCAGCAGATATGAACTTGACTTTTGTGCATGGGTAGATACCCAATGGAAATTGGCAGATCTATCTTGGCCTCGCCGCGCGCGCGCGCGCAAACTTCCCCCCGTTTCCTTTCTCGCTCTTTTGCCCGTCGCATCCCTTTCTCTTAATTAATGATCGACCCGTATTTTCCTCCATTCATGACCGAAGAGCTGATCCCGATATCAATCTTCTCCGCGAGTCGCGTGTAAGAACACGAACCTGCGTTTCATAATCCGGCTACATTTATACGCGGGCGAAAATTCTAGTGACTTTATGGTATGAATTTTTTCAAATCAAACATTTTTCGCGGTTACAAACTCCATACGTGCCATGATCGAAACGAACTAAGGTGGAGCGACCTTATGGGTATGAAATTTTTTTTCCCCTGAAATGTCATTTCGGAACTCGAGATTTTTTCAGAGTGCGCAACCGGGCGAGGTGGCGAGGGGGGGGGGGGGGCGTACAAACCTCGGATTTAGCGCCCAATTAGTTCAAAACAAGCCCAACCTAAGCCTCGAATTGCCTCTATCCCGGGGAGTCATTTGATTAACAAAATGTATCTAGCGAGGAGTTAACTTGGGATTAAAGAGATTGAGGGGAAGACTTTTCGGGGGGGATTCGCACGCACCCCCATCGGAAGAGTGGCGCCAGCTCATGGGGGGGGCTTGATCACGGCCTCTCAGCGTGCGTGCGTGTCTTTCCTCGTTTTTGTCCGATACATGACATTATTATATGACCAGCCTCACGTGTACTTAGACCCCCCCGGGGCATGCTTATCGTACCCTGATCGTCTTCAATTACAGAAGATTAGTGACTCGCCCCTCTTGATTAATGAGCTTTGAATTTGATTTATATTCGTTTTCTAGTTTTAGGTGTTGGGACCACCCTCGAGATTGGCCCGTAGCGGAGACAAGGTGAAGTTTGCACGTAATGGTTTTGAGGTCCGGTACCATCTTCTGGTACGGCGCATATTCAGGTTCTGTCATGGACCTTGTTTTGGGACCATTTTTTTTTTGTTGTTTTTTTGTTGTTGCGTTAGAAACATCGGAGTGTTCGGGATCTTTAATGCGGCCCGACTGACCTTCACCTGCTATGACGGTTTGATTCTGGAATGAAGTGAAGAATCGGAACTGAAGAAGGACGGCACGGGCGAACGAAACGCCGGGTTCTCACGAGGTCATAGCGCGTTGTTCGCGCGGATATCCGCCGACCGTTCCTTCGGGATGGGCTGGTCCGGTAATTCACTTGCGGGTACTCCTAAATACAAGGATCTCGACGTGTTTGGCGGCAAACAAAATGTGATCCACGACGCGAGGCGTTTAAGCATGTGGGATTCGTGCAGCTTCCTTCGCTTTTCGTAACGACTTGGAATAATGCTTGGGGGCCATACTAGATTGGGATGCACCCTTTTCGTGTACCTTTCCTTTCTTCTTTCCGATGCGGTCGGGATCCGATGTGGATCGATAATCCACCGAACCCTCTTCCGGGCCGTGTCGCTCCGCTCCCCCGTCGCGTATAGCGGAAAGTAAATAACCGGAGCATACAGATCCGTATTTCTAGTGGTGACCCCAAGAGAATAGAAAAAAGAAAAGGGTCTTTTCGCATAGTTGGTGCGTGTCTAATTGAACAAGAATCATGGACGGGCTCGGTCCACTTTAGCCTACGGACCGGCCATGAACCGGATTCCACTGGCCCAACCCACTGTTTTTCATAGCTGTTTCTCATCATCATCATCATCATCAATTCATCGTTACCAAATCGTTGGTCGTTTGTCATTGCTGTTTCTCGGCAGCTCAACCGGTCGGATCGGTCGGAATTCACGAAACGAACGTATTGGAGACCGGAGGGTACTTCTGCATTTTGGATGGTCGGAAAACAATCCATACACAAGTGATGCAGCCCGCGATTTGCACTTAACTTTTGTCGCTTTACGCTCGGTGTAATTCCCAATTGATGGTTGCGGAAATCAAATCTTTTGCACTTTTTTTGAAATTCAGTGCCAAACAACAGGTCTTGCACATTACTTATCAAAAGTTGTAGGAATTCATCTGAGCAAATTTCGCATGGGAAGGCAACACCCTGATGGTTTGTACCAGTTGCGGAGCTCTGCAAAGAGGTTGGGATGGAGAAGTTCGAGGACATTCCCAACAGAAGCACCCCTTCTCCAATTGCTGCATCTCTCGTTCACAACATTTTCACGAGAAACTTACGTTCTTTTTCCTATGTTAATTTCGTGAAAACACGGCCTAATGCACCGATACAGAAGAGGGTACACTTGCATTAGTTCGGGTTCAAGTTAAATAGACGGAACATTTGACCGCGCCTTACCTTAGACATCTTATAAATGCTACACGGCCATGTTATTCCGATCTTACAAAATAGTGAATGAACTTCATTCCACATGGCATCATATAAAGTATCTACTGCATCTCGAAGTGTTGTTACCAATCAATGCAATAGAATCCTACGCGAATGATCCCCATCGGACATCTTAAAAGGATAGAAAAAGCCACATTATTGGTAAAATTGTTTAGAACGGCGGACGGAATGTTCAAGTTGGTACAATCGTCCACCCTCCCCCCTTCGTGAATAATTTCGATGCGAGCTCCGCGAAATTATCTAAGGCAAAGGACTTTTCGGACATTACAATCTCTCGAATGTGCTTATTTTTCTTAGATATATCAAAGTGTTCGGGACTTTTAAAGCACCCGACCGATTCTAACTGAATATGGTGTGTTTTTTGGAACGAAAAAGAATTGGAACCAAAGATGGAGAACATAGTGTAACAACACACGATGAGACCGCACTACTAGATTACACGAGAAAACATTAGCCTGTATTCTTTTCTCGTCACTAACTTTGGTGATTATGAAGGTCGTGTGAATTTAGCAGGATTTGATGATAGTGATAATTACGCACTCATGAATCGTTCTAAGTGTGCGACATTAATGCTACTTTCTTCACTTTTATAATGACTTGCAATACTTTTGACCCATGGTAGGTTTTTTTCTTCCTGTCATGCCCCGCAGCAAATTGTGATGCACCCCATTCATATATTTAGATTAGCGATCCTTTTTTCTTTCGAGTTAATACGACAAAAAACCTCAAATTAATACGTCAGTGTCGCATGATGTTCATATCACATTTATTCCAAATTGTGGTAAATCTGGAATATGGCTTTTGGGGTAAATGTGGAACTGGTGACCTAGTTTGAGCGAGTGTACCTATTTGAGATTTTTTTAATATAAAAATTAGTATGGAGTAAATATGGCACGAATGTACCGGTTCAGTAGTTTTCGTGATACAAAAAATTAACTTGGGATAAATGTGACAAACATCATGCTAGTTTTGGAAAATTTGGTAACCCCTTTCTTTTTAATGTCATCGGGGTCCGATGTGGATCGATTATCCACTAAACCCTTTTCATCGTGATGTATATACAGATCATATAATCGGAGCATATCATACCAGATAGGGATGAGCATGGTCCGGGTGGACGATTCCCACGATAAAACTGGGAACCGCCCACTAAGGACTGATTCCGAAAAATTGGAACCGAAAATTGCTTGTTGGTTCTATGGACTCACTCGGGAACCGGATTTTCCTGGGTGGGTCCATGAAACCGGTTCCACTAAGCTTCACGCAAATGGAAGTGACCGAGAGCGAGAGCGGGAGGCTATGAATGGCCGGAGGTGTGGCCGTGAGTTGATAGGAATTGAGAGTCGAGGCTGTGAATTAATGGACCGGACCGTTTATATATATAAATATATATAAACGGTCCGGTCCGAATGGGCAGGTGGGCGGTTCCATGCTTAGAACCGGGAACCGGACCGGTACTCACCGGTTCTAGTAAATTGGAATCGGGAACTGGACCGGTCCCCACGGAAACCGTTGGTTCCGGGCCGGTCCGGTCCGATTCCGGGCAGTCTGAACGGTTCTCGATTCCTTTGCATAAACCTAGTACCGGATGCGACCTAAAGAAAAAAAGAAAAAAAAAAGATAGAAAAAAGGGGGTCTTTGGCATAGCGGACACGTGTCTAATTGAAGGAGAATCATCATGATGATGGGAGCGTACTCCTCCACGGACTACGGCCACGGCCCACGGCCCACGTCCTCGTTCTCTAGAACTTTCTCGCTCGCTCCGCCGCTATTGCAACCTCGACTTCATCGAACAAGGTCCTTCTCCTGCAAGAACCATGCGAGGAAGAAGCTACACGAGGGACTGTCAGTAGATAGAGAGAGAGAGAGAGAGAGAGAGAGAGAGAGGGAGGAGCGATCGGTATGGAGGGAGGCGGCGTCTCCAGAGAGGAGGAGGAGGAGGAGGAGGAGGAAGCGGCGTCGTCGAACTCGCGGCGGCGGCCGCCGCAGCCGCGGCCCATGGAGGGGCTGGGCGAGGCGGGGCCGCCGCCCTTCCTGACGAAGACGTTCGAGATCGTGTCGGACCCGGCGACGGACCCGGTCGTGTCGTGGAGCGGGGCGAGGAACAGCTTCATCGTCTGGGACGCCCACCTCTTCTCCACCACCCTGCTGCCCAAGTACTTCAAGCACGCCAACTTCTCCAGCTTCATCCGGCAGCTCAACACCTACGTACGTGACACATCATCTCCGTCCTCTCCATTTGTTTTATCTCGTGTTGGGTTTTATTGCTTCTGGGTGTAGATTTCGAAATGCCCTGTCTTGATTCGCCAAACAGGGTGTGTTCGATGAATGAGGTACTGCAACTGTATTATGGAGTGATGATACCGCAAATGCTTATTCATTCGGGGTTCCGTGCATCAGTTTAGTAAGACCAAACTTGAGAATTCTTGGGATCTTTACCGTTGTTCATCGAAAGAGTTGGCCAAATTGAGTGGGTATTGCATATGTCTGCGACCTCTCTGTCATGGTTGTTCTGGTGATACGTCGGTGGGTATCCTGGGTACTACTGCTAACCTTGCTGACCGATATTTGATTCTCTACTAGATCATCATCGGGAAAAGAAGAAGGTCTTTGAGATTTGACCCGAATTTTGACGTACGTTTTGCTGAATTGAATCCATGCCTGCTCTTCCCGTCGTAGATTGCAATTGATATGTCCAGATATTGCTTACCGCTGTCCTTGGTTTTTGCCGCAAATGGATGCAGGGTTTCAGGAAGGTCGATCCGGATCGGTGGGAGTTTGCCCACGAAGGGTTCTTAGGAGGGCAGAGGCACCTCTTGAAGACCATCAAGAGGAGGCGGCACGTCTTGCAGAGCACCCGCCAGCAAGGAGGGGCGTGCGTCGAGCTGGGTCATTACGGGCTCGACGGCGAGCTCGAGAGGTTGAGGAGAGATAGGGGCTTGCTGGTGGCCGAGGTTGCGAGATTGAGGCGGCAGCAGCAGCAGTCAAGGGACCAGATCTTCGCGATGGAGCAACGGATACAGTGTGCCGAGAGGAAGCAACAACAGATGCTGGCTTTCCTCGCTAAAGCGTGCAGTAGCCCGTGCTTTATTCGGCAACTCGTGCGGAGAAGTGCTCGTGGAAGGGATTTGAGAGGAGTTGAAATTGGACACAAGCGCCGGTTGACTGCTACCCCAAGCCTGGAGAATCTGCAAGATGAAGTCACGGTGGCTGCTATAAGCAGTGGTGGAGCAGGAGATAGCGCGAGCCGCGAGCAAGAGGAAATGGTCACCTTGGAGTCGGAAATGCGGACAATGTTTTCGGCTGCCTTGGATAACGAATCGAGCAGCGACGTGAAGGAACCTTGTATGGCTCCAGCTCCTGCAACAGATGCGGTCAATCAGACGATCCTGGAAGAATTACTGAGTGAAGATCTGATGACCGGGAATCCGGAGGAAGAAATATTGGTTGGCGACCAGCCTGAAATCGACATGGAGGCCGAGGATCTCGTGCCCGGGGGTAGGAATGCTGGCAAGGATTCGCAAGACCTCGCGAATCGATCGGGTTATCTCAGATCGATGCCTTGACTCCATCCAGCTCGTCACAGCAGGATAAATTCATGGAAGATTGGTGAGAGGCTATCAAAACGGATAGACAGAGAACAGTGTCTCCTTTGTACTTCATGTGTGGTGACTCTATCCACCTGAGGTTTTGTATTAGCAGTTGGCACAGGTAGTTGTATGTTTTGTACAGAGCGCTAAGGTACAGCAGTATGTAAAGATTATAGCTTTAGTTAAAGCCATGGCGTGGCTACTGTGAATACGTAAAATTCATGAATGGAGACAAACGTAGAGGACAGAGAATTTCGACTATCGTAACTTGTTGAGCGTCAGAGGCGTGGCAACAATATTGATTTGACGGAAGAAATTTTTAAAGGTGAAACGATCGCAATTCGCGCCTTTCTATTGCATGTCTCAATTACAAGAGAAATAGACTTTATATAAGCCATAGTTTGATTCGAAATAGGAAATAGGAAACCTCTTTCTAGGAAACCTATTCTAATTAGGAAATTTACTCCGATTAGGAAACCATTCAATTAGGAAACCTATTCAAAATAGGAAATCTAATTGACTTAGGAAACTTTCCTCTTTCGGGCTCAAACTATAATTAGCACCTAAAAACACGAAAAATCAAAATATGAAAATACGAATAGACTCAAAAAAGACAAGTATCAACAAATTTGGTTAATTTCTAACACTCCCCCCTAAACCAAATTCTTTTCCATCAATCATTCCAAGCAGGCTCTTGAACTTTCGAAAAGCATCGATATTGAGAGGTTTAGTAAAAATATCTGCTACTTGATCTCCAGTCTTCACATGTAATACTTCAACTTCATTCTCTTTAACATGTTCTCGGATGAAGTGATATCGAACATCGATATGTTTACTTCGTTCATGAAAAACTGGATTTTTCGCCAAAGCAATAGCAGAAACATTATCAATAAAAATCTCCGTTGCTTTCTTCTGCTCCATAAGAATATCTTTGAATAGCCTTCTCAACCATATTGCATGACAAACACATGAAGATGCAGCTACATATTTAGCTTCACATGTCGACAGAGTAACACTTGATTGCTTCTTTGATGACCACGTGAAAGCAGTGTCGCACAAGAAAAATACAAATCCCGTGGTGCTTTTTCGATCGTCGATATCTCCACCATAATCACTATCCGAATAAGCTCTAAGTTTGAAAGATTCAGAGCAATAATAGTGTAAGCCACGAGAAATAGTACCTTTGATGTACCGAAGTATTCTCTTTGCAGCTTTAAGATGAGATGATTTCGGCTTCTCCATGTATCGACTCACAATTCCAACACTATACATAATATCCGGTCTCGTGCATGTCAAGTATCTCAAACTCCCAATCAAGCTTCTATGATATGTCGAATCAACATCGGCACCATCATCAAACTTCGAAAGCTTGGTTCCGCACTCCATTAGTGTATTGACCGGCATACAATTCTTCATGTTGAATTTTTCAAGGATATTTTCTGCGTATCCTTTTTGCGAAATAAAAATCACATCGGCACTTTGCTTCACTTCGATACCAAGGAAATAATTCATGAGACCATTATCGGTCATCTCAAATTCTTTCACCATCGATGCCTTAAAAGCATCAATCATCGCCGAATTATTTTCTGTAAAAACAAGATCATCAACATATAAACAGGCGATCAGAATATCACCTTTTTCTTGCTTCAAATAGAGTGCATGCTCGTATGGACTTTGAGAGAATTCATTCGCCTTGAAATATGCATCAATTCTTGAATTCCATGCTCTCGGTGCTTGTTTAAGCCCATATAGAGCTTTCTTCAACCTTAGCACTTTGCCTTCATAACCTTTCACAACAAACCCCTCGGGTTGTTCAATATAAATTTCTTCTTCAAGGATGCCATTCAAGAATGCTGATTTGACATCCATTTGATAAATTCGCCAATTATTTTGAGCAGTAATGGAAATAATCAATCTAATCGTTTCCATGCGGATGACAGGGGCAAAAACTTCATCATAGTCGATTCCGGCTTTTTGCTTGTACCCCTTCGCGACTAATCTAGCTTTGTATCTTGTCACTTCACCTTTCTCATTCTTCTTGGCCTTGTACACCCATTTAACACCAATCGATTTCTTGTCATTCGGAAGATCAGCAAGCTCCCATGTTTGATTTTTCTCGATGGCTTCAATTTCTTTGTTCATGGCTTTTTTCCACTTTTCTTCTTTGGCCACATCATCATAAGCAAGTGGTTCATAATCTGCAAGAAGACATATAAGATGAAGCTCTTCAGTAGCTTCGTAAATTTCAGACAATCTTCTCGATCTTGGCACTAGCGGTCCATCGACACTATTTGAAGAGGATGGTGTTGATGAACTTGAAGAAGATGTTGAAGAAGAAGGTGAAGGTTGATCCTTCAACTCCGTTTGATCGGAATCACCACGAACATTCGCTTCTTCTTTTAGATTTTCTTCCCACATTCCATCTTCATCGAACTTGACATCTCTACTTACATACACTTTCAAAGTGTTAGGGTCAAATAATCGATAGGCTTTGGATGATGAGTCATACCCAATAAAGATGACCTTTTTGCTCTTGTCTTCAAGTTTCGATCTTTTTTGGTCCGGGACATGAGCATAGGCAATGCTCCCGAAAATTCTCAAGTGCGAAACACTTGGTGTTCTCCCGGTCCATGCCTCTTGTGGAGTTACGCCTTCAAGTCCATATGTGGGACATCTATTTTGAAGATAGACGGCACACGAAACAGCTTCAGCCCAAAGTTCCTTTGACAAATTTTTGCTCTTCAACATGCTTCGAACCATATCAAGAATGGTTCTATTTTTCCGTTCAGCCACATCGTTTTGTTGAGGAGAATACGGGGCCGTCAAGAAACGCCGAATACCATGATTTTCACAGAATTTGTTGAATATGGCTGAGATGAATTCTCCATCACGATCAGTCCTCAAAGCCTTGATAAAATAGCCGCTTTCCTTTTCAGCCAGGTTCTTGAATTGTTTGAAAGTGTCAAACACTTCTGTCTTTTCTTTCAAAAAATACACCCAAGTTTTTCGAGTAAAATCATCAATAAAAGTAACAAAATATCGATGATTACCATATGAGTGAGGATTGATCGGGCCACACAAATCAGAATGAATCAACTCAAGTGGCTTCTTCGCTCGATAAGTCGCCTCCTTCGGAAAGCTAGTTCTGGAATGCTTGCCGATAACACACCCTTCACATAATTGATCGGGATGATCAATATGTGGTAAGCCATAAACCATTTTCTTGCGAGAAAGCAAATTGAGTCCGCCAAAATTGAGATAGCCGAACCTCAAATGCCACAACCATGAAGGATCATCTACGCACGCCTTTAGACATCGAGACATCTCACTCTTTATATTAAGAATAAACATCCTGTTCTTCGACATCTTCACATTTGCAATCAGTTTATTATTCCGATCTTTCAACATAAGATTAAAATCTCTCATATGAACAGTATAACCTTTCTCCAGAAGTTGTTCCAAACTCAATATATTGCTTGACATTTTTGGAACATAATAAACATTAGTAATAAACTGACGTGCACCATTCTTTAAGCGAATCAAAATTGTACATTTCCCTTCAACAAGAATTTTAGAGTTATCACCGAATGAGACAGTCCCTTTAATTGTCTCATCTAACTCGGCAAACATCTCCTTTCTCCCGCACATGTGATTGCCTGCGCCGGTATCCAAATACCACGTATCGCTTTGACCTTCTTCATATTCTTTGAATGCCAATAAGAGAACTTGATCAGCATCATTCACCAAGTTCACCTTTTCGTCTGCTCTGCTACTTTCTTTGTTCCAACAGTTAGAAGCATAATGGCCAAGTTTATTGCAATGATAACATCGGATTTTAGATTTATCATACCATTGGCTTGTCGAGTTCTTTCCTCTTCCACGAACACCTCTTTGGTACTAGTATCCTCCATCACTTCGAGCAGGATCTCCTCTGCTTCGTCCACGACCTCTTCCTCGAAAGTGACCTCGGCCACGACCTCGATCACGATCTTGATTTGTCCCGCGATTTTGTACGGGATCTCTTCTTTGCTCCTTCTCATCTCGAATGGTCAATTGCGTTTGGAGAATTTCCTCCACCGGTTCAATCTTTTTCTTTCTAAACCTTTCTTCATGGGCTTGTAATGAACCCATAAGTTCATCGACCGTCATGGCATCCAAGTCTTTGGATTCTTCAATTGCAACCGCAATATGATCATACTTCTTGTCTAAGGACCGAAGTATTTTCTCAACAACACGAACATCGGAAACGTCTTCTCCGTTTCTTTTCATCTGATTAACAATTGCCAAAATTCTTATGAAATAATCAGCAATCGATTCAGATTCTTTCATATGAATTACCTCGAATTCGCCTCTCAAGATTTGGAGGCGAATCTTATGAACTTTTTGAACTCCTTGGTGTGTGTTTTGAAGAATCTCCCATGCCTCTTTAGCGGTAGTGGCGTTCGAAACTTTTTCGAACATGGAATCATCTAACGCTTGATAGATGATCGACAGGGCATATTGATCTTTTGTTCGAACCTTCTCCAAGGCATTCCTCTGATTCTGGTTCAACGTGGCTTCATCCTCCGGCTCATCATAGCCGGTGTTAACAAGTTCCCACACACCGTAGGCGCCGAGTAGAGCTTTCATTCTAACGCCCGATTACCATAATTTTCTTTGGTAAGACGAGGGTATTGAAGAGGAAGCTGATTGTTCGTTGAGGCCATGATCACGAACCGTAAGCTCTAATACCAATTTGTTGAGCGTCAGAGGCGCGGCAACAATATTGATTTGATGGAAGAAATTTTTGAAGGTGAAACGATCGCAATTCGCGCCTTTCTATTGCATGTTTCAATTACAAGAGAAATAGACTATATATAGGCCATAGTTTGATTCGAAATAGGAAACCTCTTTCTAGGAAACCTGTTCTAATTAGGAAACCTACTCCGATTAGGAAACCATTCAATTAGGAAACCTATTCAAAATAGGAAATCTAATTGACTTAAGAAACTTTCCTCTTTCGGGCTCAAACTATAATTAGCACTTAAAAACACGAAAAATCAAAATATGAAAATACGAATAGACTCAAAAAAGATAAGTATCAACAAATTTGGTTTAATTTCTAACAATTTTTAGGTTATTAACTCTCATTTAGTCGTCGAGTCAACTCAACGATAGAAGATAGGGGGGGTCAATTCACTTACAAGATGCTCGTCGAGATGCCGTCGAGACGGACCAAATTGATGAAGCCAAAGTTGAGAGAGGACTATCAAAAGGGGGAATTATTTTGTTACATGATACTCTCAAGCATCGTTAATGGCCAAGGGAGTATGTATGAAAATTGTGGAAGGAGACAAAACATGCAATGGGGGAATCTTCATCCTGGGATTGCCTTCGCAAACAAGATTATTCCAATGCATGAAGACAAAAAAGAGAATCTCTTTAAGTAGTATCCCCGAACAACGATCGGACACACTCTGATTTTGTAACTAAGGGTGCAATTGTTCGGAGAAAAATTTCATATGATAAAGAAGAATACTTTTCGACTTTTTAAGGTATGAAATTCATTATCCTAACTTTAAGCATGCGTATTTTCTTTAACCGTAAATAGTTTTCCGGTTTGTTGATCGTTTTCAGCAAACCAAACACGTGAAAGTCGAGAAAACTAATTGGCACAAAATCTTTTCACTCAAACGTACACACCTCCAACAGGGCTTTTTTCCAAAATCTGCTGCGGAGGAGCCAAGAAGTGTCTAAAACCAGCTGTAATGTCCCGGTTCTCTTTCCTCAGGTCTCTACCGCCTTATAAATTGCTTCGAAGGGATTTTCTCATTCCAAATAAGGAGATGCTGAGAGGGACAAGAAATGGAGGAAACATTATGAACGTTTGATGTGGATCCAAGGTCGGTGGGATTCCGCTTTCCATACGAGAGAGAGAGAGAGAGGCCTCTAAAGCACCACCGGTAACTCTTTTCGGGACTTGAGCAAGTCGATTCAAGTAGGGGTGAGCAAGATGGGCCCCCCAAACCAGGACCGGACCGGATCGGCCGGTTTGGTCCGATTCTCAAGAATATCAGTCCGGTTCTCGGTTCCTAAAAGTGGAACCGGTTTCGGGGCGGTCCGGTTCCCGGTTCTAGGGTGGGAACCGGACCGGACCGGACCGATAAATATATATTTTTAATTTTTTCATATATATAATATATATGTGAAAAATATTTAATATTGGTCCCATTGGAACCGATTGTTCAATTTTTTCATATATTATATATATTTTTCTAATTTTTTCCATGGCCTTATGGGATCAAATCAGAATTACAAAGGAAAGAACGGAACAATCGATTTCCGGTTCACAAATAATATTTAATATTGGTCCCATTGAAACCGATCAACGATCCCAAAACTAGCCGGTCCGATCCCCGGTCTTAGAAACTGGGAACCGGTCCTCCCGGTCCGGTTCCTGATTCTTGGGTTGGACCGGACCGGACCGGGAACCGCTCACCTCTAGATTCAAGAATTCGATGGAGTCGGCAAAATATCACATAACTAAGCCTAAGAAGTACAGCACCTTAGCCTTCACAATCCCCCTCGACTTCTCGCGGTAAATATGCGCGAAATTCAGATGCCGATGGCTTGCTTCTGACCTGCCTTTCAGTCCCATAATCGTAGTGTGATGGAAAATTAGAACAAGACACAACTTGTAAGCTCGAATCAGTGAATCGATGACCAAAAGGAAAGACACTAAGAATGATCTCACCAACCCAAAAGGTCCAAGAAAAGAAGACCGAGAAGTTATTAATGTATAATTATATGCATTATGGGGTATTTATTTAATTATATTTATATCTATACCCTTTCTGTAATTAGTCACTCCTATAAATACATATCATACAATCCTAATTAGGGTTGAGCCACCATAAACACTTTCTCGTTGTTTTCTCTCATACTTTAAACATCAACAGAAGGAAGCCCCCACTTTCTCCCAATATCATAATCTCATCATGCATGTACCGACAGACGCCAAGCTCCCAATAAGATGCTTCGGTGCTGACACCCCCAACCTCACCCCACTCTAAACCTCCATATAAAATACCAGCGAAAGCTCTCTCTCTCTTTCTAAACCACCATCTCTCTTTCTCTCTGTTTCTGTGAAAACATGTGGGAGTTCAGTTTGCAGAGAGTGATGGAGATAGGAACCACCTTCGTCACAAGCCCTCCTGCTCTGCTGTCAGCGCTTGGGTTCACAGGGTTGGCCATTCTGATGGGCCTCGCGAGCTACTTGTACGCTCCCTACTGGGGAGTGAGGAAGGTCCCGGGCCCGCCCGCCTTCCCTCTTGTGGGACACCTCCCCTTGATGGCCAAGTACGGCCCTGATGTCTTCTCCATCCTCGCCAAGCGTTATGGTCCTATTTTCAGGTCAGTGTGTCTGTTCTTGCTAAAGATTGGCCGTTGATGTCCGTTTTATTCGGTTGAACGATCGAGAAACCGGTCCGGCGTGGTTTTCGAGACCCCCCCCGGAAAACTCGAGAAACTAACATGTTTGTGAAGTTTTTTGAGGGACAAAGTTGGAGGCTCTGGTGTGATGTGTGTCACTGAATCGGTTTCTAGTCTAGTCTTTCTTTGTTGTCCTCTCATGTGTTCTATGCAAAGATGTTTAGGGCCTTTTGAGTTTGGTTGATGAAGTCATGTGAATTCTTGGATCGCTGTAGGCTCTCAAGTTGTCATCTTATACATGTCTATGTATAATTCTTAACTCTCGCTATAGATATAGTAGGGGAAATGCTTTGCGAACTCTATACCAGGTGGTACGTCTCGATACAGAAATCTGATGAGTTTGCATAACGCTGATGTATTGATCTAGATAAATGGAGCTTGATTATCCCTTGTTGCAACAGCATCTCCGTGAATAATTATTTGGTTTAGTTTCGGATCCGTTGCTAGCGTATGAACAAGTTATACGGTCGCCGTGGGATGACTGACTTGTGCACCTGCAATTAGTTATGTAATTAGATACTTCCGCATGTCAATCATCCGTCTGTGGCATATGAGTTATTTTTCACATTAACGATGGATGTCATAAAGAGCCTAATCAAACTCTTCACCATGAGAGAATGGAATTAACAGGAGCAAGAAGCAACTTGATGAGATATACTTTATGCTGTTGAGTTACAATGGATGGCGTTGAACCAGTTAAATTCTCTTGCATGACTAGACCATAGCCGAAAGTAGTGCACTGATGTGGACATGAACAAAGCTTGGACAGATGATGGAGACCGGTCCTCTGCATCTTGGATGGTCGGAAAGCAATCCATTTACAAATGCAGCCCACAGATTGCATATAACTTTTTCACTTTACAATCGGAATAGTTCCCTTTCGATGTTATTAGGAATCAATTCATTTTTTTGTTTTTCTATTTTGAAATTCAATGCCAACAAGAGGTCTTATAGATGACTGATCAAAAGTTAAGAAATGATCTGAGCAGGTTTCACATGGGAAGGCAACCCCTGATAATCGTAGCTGATGCAGAGCTTTGCAAGGAGGTTGGGATAAAGAAGTTTAAGGACATTCCCAACAGAAGCATCCCTTCTCCAATTGCTGCATCCCCACTCCACCAAAAGGGTCTCTTCTTCACCAAGTGATGTCTCGTCCACAACATTTTCACAAGCAATTTATGTTCTTTTTCCTATGTTAATTTCGCGAAAACACCCCTATTTGGCTGATACAGGAGAGGGTATACCTGCATTAGTTCAGTCTCATAATTACTAATAGAAGTCCTGTCGCAGGGACGTGAGATGGTCGACGATGAGGAACACAATCCTGTCTGTTTACCAGCCGTCGCACCTCGCGAGCTTAGTCCCCACAATGCAGAAGTACATCGAGTCGGCAGCGGAGAATCTCTGCTCTTTCAAAGAGGAGGACGTCACGTTTTCCAACCTTTCTCTCAAGTTGGCCACGGATGTGATTGGCCAGGCGGCCTTTGGCGTGGACTTCGGCCTTTCTAGAGGGCAGTCCAAGCTGGGTCACGGGAGTAGTGCCAGTGAAAAAGGCAATGGCGACAGAGACAATGAAGTCAGCGATTTCATCAACAAACACATCTACTCGACGACGCAGCTCAAGATGGACTTATCTGGCTCATTCTCGATCATACTGGGTCTGCTTGTCCCTATACTCCAGGAGCCTTTCAGGCAGATACTTAAGAGAATTCCTGGCACGATGGATCGAAAAGTCGACCGGACTAATAAGGAATTGGCAAGTAGGCTTAATGGAATCGTGTCGAAGAGAATGAAGGAGAAGGAGAGGAGCTCAAAGGATTTTCTGTCGCTCATACTTAATGCAAGGGAGTCGGAGAAGGCTGCCAAGAATGTATTTACCCCGGACTATGTAAGTGCAGTCACGTATGAGCACTTACTTGCCGGGTCAGCTACAACGTCTTTCACGCTGTCTTCTGTGGTCTATCTCGTCGCCGGACACCCAGAAGTCGAGAAGAAGTTGCTTGAAGAGATCGATGGGTTTGGTCCACGTGATCAGTTGCCAACTGCTCAGGATCTCCACGAAAAATTTCCCTATCTCGATCAGGCAAGATCTTGAAACTCGTTATTCATTGTTACTATATGGCCTCGTATTCCAAGCAGATGATTCAAACGTCGAATGTTTTGCGCCAGTGGCTCAGCTTCTCACCTCCAACTTTTGTTTGTTTTGTTGCAGGTAATCAAAGAGGCGATGAGGTTTTACTTGGTTTCGCCGTTAGTCGCAAGAGAAACATCAAGAGAAGTAGAAATAGGTGGCTATCTTCTCCCAAAGGTACATTGAGTTAACATCCCTAGTGTCTTCTACTTACATCTATGTGCTTGGGAGAGCTAGAATGTGGAATAGTGTGTGAAACAGCTCCTATTGCAATGTATAGGGCACATGGGTCTGGTTGGCGCTCGGGGTTCTAGCGAAAGACCCGAAAAACTTCCCCGAGCCGGAGAAATTCAGACCGGAGAGATTCGATCCAAATTGCGAGGAGCAGAAACGGAGGCATCCTTACGCCCTCATACCATTTGGAATCGGTCCTCGCGCCTGCATAGGGCAGAAGTTCTCCTTACAGGAAATCAAACTCTCTTTGATCCACTTATACAGGAAATACATATTCCGACACTCCCCAAATATGGAGAAACCGTTGGAACTCGAGTTCGGCATAGTCCTCAATTTCAAGCATGGCGTGAAGCTTAGAGTCGTAGAAAGAAATTGAAAATCAGTTTGTAGCTAGTGGTATTCAGGAGTACTTCTAGCAGTTTTTGTAATAAAAAACACTTTCATCAGCCGTTTCAACAAAATAAGAAGCTAAATGCTGTATCTTATAACAGAAACAAAGATTATACGTCCAGAACATTCACACGCCGATATGAAACTCTGGGCTACTGATGTACTTGTCCCGGTGAATGAACAGGGTTCAATGCCTCCTCCTTTCCCTGAATTCTGTTGTTATGTTTTTCAGACCCTCTAAAGCTCGAAGGCTACGTTTGGTGGCCCGGATTTGGATTGTGATAGGATAAGATAAGGTGGGATTAGAAATCCTTCAGATATCTTTCAGATTGTAAAAAATCATTTTACAATTCAAGATAAAATTCAAAATCTTTGAAAATCTCACTTGCTCACAGAGGTAATATTTTTCAAATCTAGGGTCGAGGAATCTAGGGCAACATCCTCTTGATGTAATCTCGCACGGCCGAGACTAGCATCATTTTGAGCAATCACCGTTTTCGCTAGAGATCCTCCTCGTCCTCCTTTGAAATCTTCCGATTGTTAGCATAGTTGCAAATTTGAGTAGATGACGCGATCGGACATCGAAGCATTACGGCAAAATTAGGTGATCACCATTCAGGACCAACATATGTTGAAGCATCACGCCGATTCGGTTTGACAGTTGTCAAAGGACAATCAACTGGACGGCGATCAGCATTGGTCGAAGACAATGTCGATTGCACGGTGGTCAGGAGTGGTAGACTGTTGTGACGGCGATTTGCCTGACTCCATCACTCCATCGTTGGAAGAAAATTATTTTGTTTTTTTTTTCTCTACTTTTTTATCGAATCCGGGTCTATCCCAACCCCTAGCCCGGAATTCTTATCCGGGTATATCCAATCCAGAAGACGTCGCCAAACACTGAATAGGATATTTTGTTATTCTATCCGGACTCAAATCCGGACTACCAAACGTAGCCTAATGGTAATTATCGCCTGTAGTGAATGTTCATTACACACTGAGAACCGGCCAAATCAACTGGTATGAAGAGGGATGACAAACCCGTAAAAGACATTATGCTCAAGTTAGATAAATGGGTCATCAATTGAGCCTTACCTTAGACATCTTACAAATGTGATGCAGCCAAATCAATCAGAACTCACAGAATAATGTATAAACTTTATTTCATATGGTATTGTATAAAGTATTTTCCACTTCTTAGAGTGGAACATATTAGTGCAATAGAGTTCTACATGAATAATTCCTGTCAGCCATCTTAAAAGGACAAACAAAGCCACATTGGACAATTGTACAGAACGGAGGACCACTTCATGATTTTCGTCAGAAATTCATGCTGTAGACACATTCTGCGACTTTTGTCGAGGGGGAATGCGAAGCCAATTCTTCATCGTATCATATGCTGTGAAGCCAATTGCCACCGAAGGAACAATCTACAGAATAATCAGGAAAGGAAAGGAGCCGATTCAAGTGAGACAGATGAGTAAGGTAACATTATACCTTCAAGCAATCAATCTCGTTTGCTTATAGTTTGAAATCTGTAAAGAAACCAAATACCTTGATGTAATTTATACTGAGGCCTGCAAACAGCTGTTTCCACCCTTGATTACGGACTATAGAAGTGAGGCCATCCCACGTGTTCTTGTATATATGTCCACCAACAGAGGGCTGCAGAGATTCAACCTGCACAATTTTCAACAAGGAACTCAATATTTCAGATCCAAGTAATTTTAGTCACCGGGTATCACAATTCTAGAGTCGTTCCCCCCAAGCAGAGAAACTAATAGCCCAAATGCAATCTGAGAGTAAGCAAGAAAATTTGAAAAATCCAGAATCAAGCCCATACAGGAATTGGGAGAGCGACCGCGCCATATAAATGCTTTGGAGTATTGCCTCGTTTATCGAAACCACAAGTCAAAGAAGATTTAGTAATATTAACGAACTTTAAACGATCAAATACCTCATAATCTAAGTCTGACCTCCCCACTCCACTGGAGACAGAGGACGTCAAAAATAATTCGGTGTACTCATTATGGGGAATCTAATAGCCAAAAGCCTTCATTAACCTATAATACCTGGGATATGATGCATAGTCAATTGCATTATGGTAAAAGTCTAGATACGTTATTTAGTTTTCAATTGCAGATAACGCTTCATCTTGAAGCACTAGAGTGTCATGACAAAAAAAAAAGTAAACATTCTCACATTAGGTTTCAGATTTTTCCCCTTCCTAATAATCATGAGTAACTCATGACACAAAATGTTGCGTGGCACATCAAGTATAAGAAGTACAGAATCTAAATATCGTGCATGCATGTATACGTCATTCCAGTTCTAGCACTCGCAATCATAACGGTAGTCTTCTCCGCCAAAAAGTTCTGGGAGTCAATGGTGCACAAACTCGTGGTGAACAGGAATTATGTAGATTCATACATGTAGCTTGTACTGGTAGGTGCTTATGTATCAGGTAAGTCAGACAAAGCACATCCATTTAGGCTTCTACTAAAGGAGAAAGGACATCAGCCAGCTAGTCACCTAAAAGTAATAGAGTTATACCTGCATCTGTCTTCTGACAACATCTAGTGGATATGTGAAAGTCTGTCCAAATAATCCAGCCAGAGCTCCACAAGATAATCGCATCACAATGGACTTCTGATGCTCTTCAGGAACATGTGTCTTAAGCTCCTCATATATGTAGAACTTTAAACCAGCGTATGGGAGTATTCCAATTAGAGTTGGACCTGATTAAAGAACGCAAAATAGTTGCTTATAGGAAGAAGATGATATTTCAAGAGGACCATAATCCATGGTATAGTAGTATGCAGTTTAAAAAGAATACAGCACTTTCTCAAAAAAACATGGCTTATGGAATAAAGATATGAAAAACATGATAAGATCGACTATCCAAAGGATGTTGAGCACACTCACCTACACCCCGGTACAATCCGCGCATTCCCCCTTCCTTATAGACACTTCTCAACACATCTTTAATACCATCATAAGCAGGCTGGAGAGCAACGCTTGATACACCATTTCCCAATGTTGCTCCTGTGTTTTTAACCTGCTTTTCCATTAACACATATCAACCAAGAAGATACACTTAAACAACAGCTATCATTTTATCAAGCAAGGATCATTGATCTGGATAAGTAAAAAAGAAAAGGTTAAATGGTTGCTCAACCACCAAAAATAGTTTAACACACGAGAAAAAAAGTTAGATGGTCCAATAATATCATGCATTATGCGCTCAAAATGCAAATTGAACATTTTGTCTGGCAAAGAAGGTTTTAGTATTGTCCTATCACGGACATTAGATACATATACAGCCGTGACAAAAGAGTATCCTTGAATAGATGATAGAAACAAAACGCATGTAACCAATAATCGCATCTACATAGGATGCTAGTAAATCCATATCGAAATAAACTCCTTCTGAAGAACGATAAGAGTCCTCAAAACATCAGGAAATTTTTTTTAATAAAAAAAAAAAGAATAATGGTTTATGCAAATTATTTACCTGATAAGCAAGTTTAGTTCGAGCAAGATCCAACGGATATGTGCATAATACTGCTGTTCCTCCAGCTGCCGAGCCAGCCAGAAGATCTATAACTGGCCCAGAACCTAAAACTTGATAGTTATTCAAGATCCAGCAGCGGTATTGCTCATACGTCATAAAATGCAAGGCTGCATAAGGAACAATACGTAGGACACTGGCTCCATTTCCTCTGGAAGACAACACAAAGACATGCATCATTTTACTGCCTTTCATAGAAGAAAAAAGACGCAAGTTCACATATTTCAATTACAAACTCACCTATAAAATCCCTTAAAACCTTCAGTCTCCAGCAACTTCTGCAAGCTTCTCCATACCCCTAGAGATTGGAACCCCTCAGTTCTTGTCTGCAAGACAAGCCAGAAAATGTGCACTCAACAAGGCAACAAACAAAAGAACATACAAAACTGACTCTTCCCTGAATTGCAAAGCTGAAGCATATAAGCCCCCCAATCACTAAGTTACCGAACTGCTTCTCAAATAAAAACAAAGAAATACACCTGGTGGAAGTCATCGAATGTTATATGGTGTGCTCAGAGAGCAAAACCATTGGAAATTCACGGTCGATTAGACTGCAGCTTCTTTTGTCTAAGGCAATCACCACATACATGTAGACACCCAAGCAGGGTGAACTTTGACAGATTGGTTTCTCAGAAAAAGCATGCTGGATGCACCTCAATCCATCCCAAACTCACGACCGCAAAAAAGAATATGCTAAGGTCCTAATGGCAATTCAACCATTAGTCAACAGCTAGAAGATAGCGAGAATCATGAACACTAAAAAAAATGTGGAAGCTTTTATTTTATGAAACCAAGATACCAATAAGACTTTACAAAATGATAAAGGTACTGTTACAAAAGAACATGGCGCAAAAGAATTAGTATTCTAGGAATTTTATTTGGTTTATCACAGCTCAGAGGTACACGCAAAAAACCCCCACGTATCAATTTCCAATTTTTCCGTGCCTTAACAGCATATAATCGATGTGTCTTGCATAGCAAAAGGCTAAACCAAACTAATTCTAATCTTTTCCCTAAAAAATAATTTCATTAGACAAACAGCTTTATAAGTTCACCAACTCAAAAAAAAAGAGAAACCTTCTCCAAGGCATTACCTGCAAAAGTATCTTAGTCCGTTCCAGGGGAGCGACGGCAGTCTTAGCAAAGCCACCAGCAGCACCCCCAGCAATCAGCTCCTTCACATAAACAGGAAGGGAATCGACGTACTTAACCATCCCATGCGCCGACGATCCCTCGACAAACCCAGCCACATCAGTCGACAAAGTGGAGCCTTGAGACGAGCCCATCGCGGATTGCCGCCGCCGCCGCAGCCGCCAGAAAACCAGAAAAATCCCCACACCCTTTCAAACCTCTGGCGATAGCTTCCCAGTTATCCGCCCTGCAGCTCGAAGAAGGCCTTATCCCATCTATCTCTCTGGGTGCAGAAGGAAACCGCTTCCTGCTCGAAAGGCAGCAGAGACAGCGGCCCGAGAACACCCCGAGACGTCTTAGGTATGTTCGCAAGCCAATCTCCCTCTCTGAGAACCACAAGATACATCCACAGCACAGTGAAGCTCCTCACGAAATCAAAAACAAAAACCGCCCGCCCCCCCCAAAAAAAAACCCCCCTTCTCAATCACGAAGGAACCCCCATGGATCGACCCAGAAATCACCGGCGCTCATCCGCAAACGAACCCTCCTCCAAATTCAGCACAAGAAAAAAACGCGAGAGCCGGAGACGATAATGTCGCTCGAAATTTACGGCAACAGATTCAACCCCCGCCGGTAGCGATCGAGCGGCGAAGCCTCCCAACCCCCCCGAAAGTCTCAAAACGATCCGAAGCGATCGAGGCACGAACGCGGACCGAGGCCGATCCAAGCCAAAAGAAACGAGCGATTCGACGGGAAGGATCGTATCGAAACCCGAGCCCGAGCGCACGCGAGGAGATCGCCCCGAAGAGGACGCGATTCGCAGCCCCCGAATCGCCGCCGCCGCCGCCGCCGAACCCTAACCTCGTCCCGCGTTCGTTTTCGTGGTGGCGAAAGGAGGAGGAGGCAGCGCGTGGGATGTGGGGGAGGAGGAGGGGATTTTCTTCTTCTTCTTCTCCGGCGGGTTGTTTGTTTCTTTTCCTTTCCTTTCCTTTCCTTTCCTTTTATTTATTTATTTTTATTTTGGGCGGGGAATGGATCCTCGGGTGATCCCAGCCGTTGATTTTCGGTTTCACACCAATCCCAAACCAAGGAGGGGGGGGACAAGGGTCACCGGCTGAAACCGGTTTTGAGTCAAGTGCGACCTTTATGTTTTTTTGTTTTTCTTTTCTTTGATAATAAAATACAAATAAAACCAATATATAAAGATTTGCTAAAACACAGTACCGGGGGACTTTTAGGGCGCGCATGAAATCCATTATGGAGCAAAATTTCTGCTCTAGAATGCATTTCGGAACAGAAATGCGTTTGTTAAAAAATTTCCGGAATGCATTCCGGAGGAATTTTTGCATTATGGAGCAAAAATACGTTTGGTAAAAATACATTCTTTTTTTTGTTCCAGAATGAGTTTTTGCTTCTAGAATGTGTTTTGGGCCAAAAAAAAGAAGCTAGTTTTTGTAGCTTCTGGCTTCCCGAATGCATTCTGGCCAAATTTCCTTCTTTACTCTCTTCAAGAGACGTTCGACTCTCTTCGGGTTTCGTGCCCTCCTTCCCTCCTCGTGGCTTGCACGGAGCGACCACCGCACGCGGCGGCGATCGATTTTGGCCCTCACTCTCTCTCCGCCGCTTCCGTTTCTTCATGCGTAGCTCGTGAGTCTTCGATTCCTCCAACTGTTTCATCTCCTCTCTCGTCGTTAGCTTTTCCCTTCGGTGCAATCCACGGTGCGCGACGCAGCCGCAACGAGACGCCGCGGAGCGGTCTGGCGAGAACTTGATTAGCATGCTGCGGATTGAGGTTGAGGTTGAAGTTGAGCCGCGGGGTTTCTGTTTCGAAAGGGCTATGATGTGTGGGTTGTGTGGCTGAATCGGTTTGTTTCGTCATTCGTGTCTAGCTCTGCGATTCGCGGCCCCTCCGAGGCCGAGGCCCTCATCGAGGCCCACCCCGCTCCGCTACTTGACCGAGAAGCAGCGGGCCCGCGAGGCCGAGCGCGAGAAGATGGGGCTGATCGGCAAGGGGCCGTAGCGAGAGATCGACATCTTGAAGAAAGGAAGTCGAACCGAGTCGTCTTCGAGAAGCCAGAGATAATCGGGACCCGGGCTTGGATTTGATCTCGTTGGGGTGGGTCGATGCGGATAAGATTCGAAGTATGGGCTCACGGTCGAGGATGGAAGGCGGCTCGTGAAGGAGTATTCTAGGGTTTTGATGACGAGGCATATGGCGAGGCAGGCTGTGGAGAGTAATTTGTTGCGGATGAAGAAGGAGGCGATTGAGGCTCTGCCGGAGAAGCTGCGAGAGGCGGCGCTGGTGCCAGATTTGACACCTTTCCCTGCAAATTGCTTCATGGAGACACTCACGCCGCCAACTGAAGGGTACATAGAGAAGGTCAAGGACGCTGCGAGGAAGAGCTTGGCCAAGGAGAAGCTTAGATGATTTTGGATGAAGGCCGTGATTAAAGGTTAGAGCTTTTTGTTGTTTTAGGTGAATTGGTTTCTGTATGAAGTTATGAACTATGTTTAGCTGATGTGTGCTGTTTTGAGGTCAGAAAGGAAGATATTTGTCATAGGTTGTAGCTGATTCTTTGTTGAATGTTCATGTAATGCCTGAAGAATGAGCCATAGATGTGTTTCAGGGATGTTGAAATCTTCTTGGTTGATTCGACTCTTTAATTTAGGTGTAGATATTGGCAAAACGCAGATCATTCTGTACAGTTTAGAGTTTGAGCCGTGGTCATTAGCTTCTCTGGGTATGCGATTGTTCGTCCAATTTGTCTATGGCTAACCAAGGTAGCGAGTGGAATAGGGGTGGCTATTTGTTTTGCGAGCTTTGCACTGTTGCTTCTAACTACTACTTGCTTTGTTCCATGATGCTTGCTACCAGGCACTCGATTAATCTAAAATAAGAAGACTTGGTTGTGTTTCAATAGATGACTGGTTTGCTGGTATTTTGTGATGGCTTGGGAATTGCAGGATACTCTCCAAGCTTCAGGTTTGCAATGTGTGCTCCCAAAAAAACTGAATGCCCAGTGACTCATGTTTGACATCGTTTGCTTTGCTTTCATGTAATGTCTCTTCGGGGAATTGAATGGTCTAAAGTTGCTGTAATTGGTGTGTTATTCGCGTTCCTCTGTTGTTGAATTTAGAGTAATGTCGGTTTCTTATTATTTTTATCAATTTTGAGCAGGTAAGATGTGCAAAGCGAGGGACTGTTGGAAACAATGTTAGAGCAACTGAAGCTAGAAAGCTTTTCTTGATTTGAGGAAGCATTTTTCGAAGAGGGGACTGGCGAATTGGGGTGCTAGTACTCTTAGTCTCTCATTAGGTCTTGCACTTTCTCTTGTTGGGCTTGTGAATGACAGAAAAATTCTAATAAATTTGCCATCTTCGGCTGTTGAGACTTTACAAATGCTTGGATCTGCCATCTGCTGCTTAAAAGTACCATAAATCTGTTTATTTTGCACATGCGAATCTCAAGTTTATCATTACCTTTCTTTTTCCCTTAATTATTTGCTGAAGTTTTGGAGAATGGTCTGAGTTCAATTACCAACTCAACTTAGTTAATCTTCCCTCTGTTGACTATTCTTGGAGAATTCAGTGGAAAGGAAATGCGAGCAGAAGCAAAAAATTTCCTACACAAAGCCCTCATAGCGTCTAAAGTAACAGGAAAATGAGATAATAGGAATCACATAATCTAAGCCCTTACCATATAACTGTATTTTCCTTCTCTGATCTATCTGATCGAGTTTTATCTTCTCCATATACGAAGTTTATTATCCCGGCATTGCAATCTAGGATGGCAGTAGCATACCTGCTGGAGATCATGTGCGAAAGGCTTAAAATACTTCATAAGATTTGGTGATTATCCGTTCACAACTTAACTTTCAACTGCTGTTTCTTGCATTAGATTTCAAGAACACAAGGAACCGAATTCAACAAATCCTGCCAAGGCATGTTTCTTAGAAACAAAGTGATATGCCTCCAAGATGTATTTAGACTCGACATTAAATATGGACATATTTGTGAAGCTGAGAAGACAAATCTTCACAAATGTAGATAGCGACTTAAGCCAGTTAACATGGGGCTATCATTTTTGGGAAAAAGGACTTTCTCCACAAGAAAACTTCCTCCTGTTTTATCATACAGATTTCTCTTTCAGAAATTAATTTCTGGAGCAGAATTAGTCATGTTTTACCAAACAGATTTCTCCTCCAGAAATCAATTTCTGGCAAGAATTCCAGAAATCAATTTCTGGCAAGAATTTGATTTCTGGAGCAAAATGGTTACCATTCACACCCTTAGGCTTCTGTTTCCATTTTTCTGTTCTAGAAATAAGTTTGGAACAGAAATCCGTTCGGTAACGCAATTTTATTTTTCAATTTTTGGAATAAATTTTGATTTCAAAAATAAGTTTGGTACAGAATTAAGAAGTAAACAATTTCTACTTTTTTATTTCTGGAACAAAAATGAGAAGTTCTTCTCATCGCTCGTCCTCGCTACTAGCCGGTCGCCCACCCACCGTCTATCGCCAGCCTCCTACGGTCCTACCGCTACCCGACGCCGTCTTCCACACTGGCCGTGTCGCCATCCGCTGTCGCCTCCCCCCGCCATCCGCCGCTCGATGTTCGCTACCACTGTCTGCCACCGCCATCTGCCCACCGTCCACTCACCGATCACCCGAGAGGGAGAAATTTTGTGCCATTATCGAACAAATTTTTATTTCGGGAACAGAAATTTTGTGCCGTTATCAAACGTGTTTTTTTCTCAGAAACTTGTCCAGGAACATAAATAGAAAAATCTGGCCACAAATTGATTTCTGAAACAAAATGATTGTTATTCGTAGCCTTATTTTCTGTACTGGCCTTTATGCCAAAATTGAGGTGTTTGGCGAGATATTTTCAAAGGCTTTTGAACCAAAGCCGGCATTTCCAAGGGCTCTCGGCCAAACGCAAGTTCTGCCCGACTTTAGCATCGAGCATTTTTCCCGAATGCTAAAAGATATTTTCTTCTTCCAACCTTGATCTCGCTAAGTTATCTAAATTCTAGTTTTGCCGTCACTATTTTCACCATGCAGCCTCATGCGATGTCCTTGACAAAGCCCATATCTAACCATCGGGTGAGCCTCACCTGAGGTCGCGAGAGCTCAGAGGGACGTTAATGGGGTCTTGCGACTTGAGGCAAGGTTTGCATGGGGTCACGTGACCTCCATGAAACCCAACGCCCAAGGTGGGTGGCTTGAGCCGCGGCCCTCGAGCACGACTGAGCTGGGGTTTCCTCTTTACTTTTAATAATTACTTTTTAGATTGGATTTTGTCAAAATTCTTAACCTAAAGTCCTTTTTATTTACCTAAAAGGTCATTTCTCCAAAACTCTCCCAAACATACCCTTACTCTTTCCTTTTGTAGTGTTCACTCGTCGTAATTCAATCTATTATATCATTAAATTATAATAAGCATTACGATTCTTCAAAATCCGCAAACATCGCGTGGATTGGATGGTGGAGCTATTACAACTAATTGCATTGGCTTACATCAAATTCAATTCAGATATAATAATCCGCATCATTAAAGAAACATGAACAATCATTTTTCCAAATTAAACATATTGAAGATATAATTATATTTTGATTTGAGTTAAACATCTTACGTGGATAACATTAGTTTTTTGTCCACCTTTCAAACTTACCTATTGAAAGTCAAATTAGCAAATTTTATTAGCTTGAATCAATCAAAGGACAACATCAAACATTCTCATATAATCCATAAACTAAATTGAACATGTATCGAAAGTTTATGAACCGCATTGAATAAATTGAAAGTTCGAGAATAATATTGCATATTGGGTCAAAGTTTAGGGATCGTATTGAATAAATTAA